AAAGAGGCCAGCTCGAGAGCACCGAGTTCTCGTTCTCGAGGTTCTTGACCCCTCACCTGGCCAATTACCAAGGCTGGGCCATGTTCGTGGACTGCGATTTCCTCTACCTGGCCGACATTAAAAAGCTTACAGATTTGATCGATGACAAGTACGCAATCATGTGTGTTCAGCATGACTACACCCCTAAAGAGACCACGAAAATGGACGGTGCGGTTCAGACAGTGTATCCGAGGAAGAACTGGTCTTCCATGGTGCTGTACAACTGTGGACACCCCAAGAACAAGATTCTGAGCCCCGATACCGTGAACACTCAGACGGGCGCCTTCCTCCACAGGTTTCAGTGGCTCGACGACGAAGATATCGGGTCCATCCCCTTTGTGTGGAACTTCCTCGAAGGGCACAATAGGGTCGTGGAGAATGACCAGAGCACGAAGCCCAAGGCCATTCACTACACTCGCGGAGGGCCATGGTTTGATGCTTGGAAGCATTGCGAGTTTGCAGATCTCTGGCTCGAGGAGATGGATGATTACACCAAGAAACAAGCCGAGGCTGCGAATTAGACGAGGTTATGACAATAACCTGCCTTGAATCTTTTGAGTTCATATTCTTTAGAATTGGATCGATTGATATATAGTATGGTTTGTGAGGTGGTGTAGATCCAGGGTTCATGGTTGATGAGTCTCCGAGGAATGGTTTTTTTTTTTTATCATTTGAATTCCTTAAATCATATCTACATTTCACATTAGGCATATATGTATATGTATATGTATATGCCTCTCATATAACATTTACATGATAACATTATCAGTTTGTTTTACTATGGTTTGTAACTTACAACTGCAGTTTCTTTGGTAAAGCATTGGTTTCTTGCTGTTTGCTTGCTTATGGTGCCATTTGAAAAGATTAGGGCTGACGTGGAAGCTGTGGAATTTATAATAAAGAAGATGTTGGCTTTGTTCTTAGGAAAGGAACATAACCCATCACTTGTTTTGTCATCAAACATTGCAAAGTTGTAAGCTTTTTTTTTTTAATCTTAATTTGAGAGAGATTTTAAATAAATGTAAATGTATTTTAGGTAATCGGTTAACTCACCTGCATCTAAATATCATATATGCAAATATTTAGAAATAGTCACATAACCCAACCAACTAATTTAAAAATTTTAATTTACAAAGAATTTCAAATAAAATTATTAAATGCCCTGTAAAAATAAATTTATCTGTAATAAAATTTAGTTCACCTCGAAATCCAATTATATATTTATCCGAATCCACCGCTACTCGGATTCGTCATTTTCAATAGTCGACATGTATCTTGGTTAAGATCGGATATTATACATTTGAATATTTAGATCTCGAATCAAACATTATTGACGGATATATAATCACTGTAGATAGACAAATTAACAGTGGAGAGAGGCCACGCAAAAGCCATTGTACCAATCATCCCATAAAAACGTGCAGGTCGAATCTTATTTAATAAAAGAAAAGTATTTATTGCTTTTTTTTTCTTTTTTTTTGATACATCGGGAACCCCGTGACTACTTACCCTTACAAACGGAGACGAACTGGCCACCACCCACGCCTAACAGTCTCCATAGATCTCAATCCGCTGGACCTGGCCATCAGACGTCCCTAACGCTCGGGTCGTAGTTGGACTTAGGCGCCTGCGGGTCAAACCCCAAGTCCACGCGCACGAGTCTGCAATACACGCGTAGGAGGTAAATCAGCCTGTTATGACAGGATGGCAGGCGAGCAGGTTAGAGAAAGTGAGACGGCGAGGAATCGAACTCCCCACCTCATGGGACGAACCCCGAGTACTTATTGCTTTTAATTTGTAGGCCTTCCATTTTTGTATATTTTCATTTTTTTTAATGATATATTTTTCGACTGCTTATTATGGCAAACCAAACACTTTTTAGCTTTTTTCTTTAGGGACAGAAAACCAGTCAAATCAAATCAGAATTGACCGACGGATTCTTGTTTTCCTTTAGCACAGCCGTATCACTGTGAATATATTGCAAAATGTTTAAGTGCTATGAAAATTTTGGAACATTTAATGTCCGGATTTATTCAACCGTGTTCGATCTCTTTAGGCGCACCTATTAGGCGTTAGACGTGGGTCCAGATCGGATATCCGAAAAAATCGGGATATTTGGATTTAGATCTGGAAGACTAGAGTATTTAATTATAAGATTTGTATTTAAAATTTGTGGATTTACGAGGTACTCACGCGTACTTAAATCCGGATTTATTTAAAAATAATAATAATATTTATATATAAAATTTTCAAAAAAATGAAGATATAATTATAAAAATAGATTAATTATGATAAAAATATAATATAATAAGAGATAAATAATAATAAATTTAATTTTTTGAGATGATATTAAAAAATGTAAAATTATTTAACCTAGAATAATTATATTTTATAAAAATATTATATAAATATAAGATATAATTATTTATAATCATATTAGTCAGATGTCCACGGATATCCAATTTTAAAAATTCTATTATCCGGATTTGGATTTAGATTTATGGATATTGAAAAATCCATATTTAAATTTAGATTTAAATAATATAAGTACCCAAAAGTCGGATATCTATAATACGAGTATGCGACGGATATCCGTTTTTCAGATATTTGTACCCATTCCTAGCACATCAGGTTCGAATTTATTTTCTTTTTTATATTTAAATAATACCATATATATATAATATTAATAAAAGAAAACATATATTTTGTCATTTTTCATCTGTTTGGGTGTCAATACATATCGATGACGAAATTTTAAAATCTAAATTCAAATGCTATATAAATATACAACAAAAACCTAAGCTAAACCCCAAAATTAGTTAATTTTTTACACTGTTAAGCAGATATTGTCCTACCGAAACAGACACAAGAAAAAAGCTACAACTCACATGGGGACGAATTACACTTGTGCCACGTAGGCCACAGTATGCTTTTTTTTCTTTTTCTTTTTTTATTGTCACTAAAATGTTTTTTAAATTAATATGGGAATTGTTTTTTTTTTCTTGTCAGGAAAAAAAGGAATGGAAGGAGGAAGTCTGGTAGTAGGAAGAGGGTGAAGCCGCCGTTTCTCTCAAACCCTTTCGGTTCCTTCCCTTCTCTCTGGGTTTCTTCTTCTTCACCGCACTCGAAACCGATACGCATTCAAGCTTTTCTGGGTTTCTTCGATATTTTATCGACAACGCCACAGATTCTGGCTGGGCCGAGACAGAGAGAGAGAGACGGAGAACGCGAAAAATGAAAATCTAAGAGCGGGGATTCCGAGCCCTTATTCCCGTTGGATGAGGTGCGTATTTCGATCATCTCCTTAATCCGTGTCTGGAGTCTGTCCGGATGTGTCTCAGACGCTTCTTTGTTTTCATTTTCGGATTCTTCGTCGGATTTCTGCTTCACGGTGTAATACCTTCGCGTTCACTGTTCTCGCTTGATTGCCCATTTCGTGTTGTTTAGGGTTTGATTAGAATTCGACGGATGTTCTACAAGATGGGTTGTCTTTATTGCTTCATGTTCAAGTCAAGTATCCATGATTTTGGCATTTGTTCGTGCCAACTCTTGAGAGGGGAGACTCACTCTAAAAGATGGGTAGTTTTTGTTGGCGTAATGCCCAACGGTACCTCACTTTCGGTTGAAATTGATATTTAAACAAAGTGAAATGAGTGACTGTGACCAAACTGGTTCTGTCTGTATTGAATTCTGTTTGGTCTGATATTCCTAGCTGGTTGGTAAACTTGAGCAGCTGAGTACAGTTCACTCCTCAGAAGAGGACTTTGTTTTGTTTTCTTCATACTTGGAGTTTATGTACACTGATTTTCGTTTGATTAAGATGTAATACAATGAATGGGTACTGCATATTGCCGCATTAGTTTGTCTTTGCCAGTGTTATTTAATCCTGTCTATTTTCTGTTAGTCTGGTTGTATGCTAAGCCTATTTTCCATAGGCATTTTTGCCTTGGCTTGCTACTATGTGGAACTTCTATGCTTCAATGTGTTTGCAATACTTCTTCTTTTTTAATTACAGATGCAGTGGTCTTTTCCTCTTCTATGTCATGGATTTATATAGGCTATCCTCCTGTGGAGGTTCTGCCAGTAATTAGAATCTAGAATTTGATAACACTTATTGCTTTCTAAACTGCAGCTGGGGATCTCCTTTTTCCTTTGATGTGAAATAGATTGGCATGCATTAGGATTCTTGTTTTCCTGATGGGGTGTTCTAAATTATTTTAATTGTTTTATGGTAATATATTTCTGCATCTGGTCGATTTAGGTCATATTTGGATGATACTTGCTCTTAAGATGAGTACAAGAAGAAATGGGGTTTCCAGGTGTCAGAGAGTAGAGAATATTCGGGGTGAGGGGCCAAACTGGATCCTAATTGCCGGTGGTGCACTGTTGAGCACATTGTCCATTCGCTTTGGGTACAAGTTAAAGCGGTCACTTGACTCAAAACAACAAGCAAATACAACTGGTGGGTTGAAAGGTACAAGCGAAAGAACTTGCTTTGGTTACAAACTAAAGATATCATACTTCTTGCATGTTTTATAATTCACTTGGGATGTTCATCTCATTGAAAGGTTGTTATGCAGTCAATGGTGCATCTGACAGAAGGTCATCTCGCTGCTGCTTGCATTCCAATGTGCCTTCATGTGTCCAGAATGATGATCATTGCTTGCACTGCATCCCAGGTGTGAGTTCATGAGTCATTTATTCGTACACTTCCGCATTGTGATGCATTTTTGCTTCAAGCTACGAAAGAACAGTATTTGTTAATTGTAGATTATATAATCTTTTGCACATTAGCCGCATTTTACAGACTAGTCTTGGTTGTGTTATTTACCATGTGCTGGATAATATAATAGGAGCCCTACGTGCTGGACACAGATATTTTGTTGTGCTTAGTTCTCCATTTTGTCGATATGTATTCTGTAGTGTGTTTTCATAGAGTTCGTTAAGTGGATGAGATGTTTATAATGATAAACTCCAGTTCAAAGAAAATGCCTTTGATTTTCGGTCTCCACTCTTCAGCCTATGATTATCTTTACTTTAGCTCAATAAGAGAATGTATACATTGTTTTTTGTTTTTGCATCAATGAGCTGGAAGCTACTGAAGTAGAGTTCCCTGTTGATGCTTCTCTTGTGGTGAGATGTGGAAGTGTGGCAACGTTTTTAGTTTCTCAGAAAACATTCCTGCACCGTCCATGCGGTTATGTTTGGATTAGAAATCTCGAGGAAATCCAACACCTGCTACTTAACTTAGGATTTCTGGTATGCTTGTATCTGTACCTCTTTGCTTTTTTTTTTCTGTCTTAACTCTGTAGTATCTTGCACAATCCCTTGGACTGATTCATGTCATCTCTACGAAATTGTATGAAAATCTTATGGGGAAATCCAACAACACCTGCCGCTTAACTTAGGATCTCAGTATGCTTGGACCTGTTTCTTTTTTTCTTCTTCTATCGTTGCTTTAATATATTATTGCATGATCTCTGAAACTGAATCCTACTTTCTCCACAAAATTGTGTGAAAATCTTCCTCTGTCCAAGATGAAGCCCACTGCCTGAATATTCTCTAATGTGGGCTTGTTTATACTTGGTTGTTTGATACAGGAACTGAGAGTGCAGAGGGAAAGCATGCGCCGAAGGAACAAATGGGATCTGCATCCAATTCTCCCCTTCCTCTGGTGACTGTTCATACTCCAGAATTCAACAAAGAGAGTGGCATCATGTGGGTATCTTCTCCTGATCGCCTAGAACTGCCCCCAAAGCCATTTAATCACCATTCAACCTGTTCAGACTCTCCTTGTGTATCTGAATGCGGCTCAGACATCTTCATCAAACGAGAAGTGATACAGAAACTGAGGCAACAACTGAAGAGACGGGATGATATGATCTTGGAAATGCAGGATCAGATCCTGGAGTTGCAGAATTCGCTTAGCGCACAGATGGCTCACTCTAGCCATCTGCAGGGACAGCTAGAAGCAACAAACAGAGATCTGTTTGGTTCCGAAAGAGAAGTACAGAGGCTCAGAAAGGCATTCACGGATCAATGTGTGGGATACACTGGTAGTAACGGGAAGGCATCACCGGTTGCAGCCTGGGGTGGTCATACAAACGGGTTTATGGACGGAGGAGAAAGCAACTCCGAGTCACCAGAGAAGGGCTTAGCTGACGGGGAAAGGATCGATATGTTGAGACGGGAAGTGGGAGAGCTGAAGGAAGTGATAGAAGGGAAGGAATATCTTCTTCACAGCTACAAGGAGCAGAAGGGGGAGCTGCTGTTGAAAGTTAAAGAGTTGCAGCAGAGATTGGACTTGCAGCTTCCGAACATATTGTAAGTAAGAGTTAGGCATTGTGCATTCTTTCACGTTCTCTTTGTTCTTTTCGTTTTTTGAGAAAATGAATTTAATGCCCAGAAATCATGGGCTCTGGACATTGTCTTTGTCTTTAGTCTCCAGCTTCAGTTTTATGAATGTTTGGTCGCTTCTGTTTTCATGTCTTGTCTCTTGGATGTTGGTGGTGTAAAGGAAATAGCTGAAGCTGATGATGAGGTGTTGCCAATGCAAAGTTTAGACAGTTTTAAGTTTGAATGAATTACCGTTAACAAAAAAAAAATTATTGTTAATTATGTGAAAGAATTAAAAGATATCATGACAATTTTATTTGGCAAATATTAGTTCGCGTCCACATAAATTTATCACTAAATATTATTTTGTTTTCAATTATAAACACATGAGACAATGATTTTAATTCTAATTATTTTTATTTATAAAGACACAAAATTATAGTAAATTAGTAATATTTGCCCCGGGTTTTGTCTCAGTGAATCCCAATTAATTATAGCTCCATCTGGCCTCGTGATAAAGAAAAAACTATTTTAGATAATCAATCGCCAATTCGCCATATATCGATTAATTTCCATAGTAGAGTATATGTTAAAATGAGGTCAAAGCATTTAATGATATTTTTATTATTTTTACGGTCTAGTGCAATATTTTAATTTTCTCTATGTTTTAGTAGTATTCTTATATTTTCATATATTAAACCTTAATATTTTAATAATCGATCAGCTAAAATGGGTATCGTAAAACTTTCGCGATTCCATCTTTTTTTTAGTATGTTTCGGAAAAAATATAAATAAATAGGATATTCTGGTTTTTTTAATCAAATAATTTTGCATTGAACATTAAGATAAGTAGATAAAGTAGGGGAGAGGAAATCATTTACATATTTTTTTTGTCACACATTGGTCGTTTCCTCAACCCTGAAGATAACACATTTACAATCCCACGACATTATTAGTACAAATATATAACAGTCCCAAGGGCATATACCAACTTTAATATATATATATATATATATATATTCAATATACATACTTGCATTTACTACTTCAAACCCTAATACTAAATTCAGATTCTACAATTACATTCATAAATACTACATATGAGCCTTCCTACAATGGCTTCTTCTGGGCACAGCATGAGCCTTCAATGGCTGCTTCATCACAATCGTGAACTCCTGCTTCTCCGACAAGTCCACGTCATCGTCTTCCGCCGCTTTCCACTCGAATTCTGACACCAGATTCGCCACGAAATACTCGAGATGCATCAATGCCAACCCTAATCCGGGGCAAATCCGCCGTCCCGCCCCGAAAGGCATCATCTTTATCCCTCTGCTTCCGGTTATATCCACAGCTTCTTCGCCATTGATGAACCTCTCCGGATTGAACGCCATTGGATCATCCCATACCTGTGGGTCCCAACCCATCTCTGCAACCATGAAATTGATCGTACAGTTCTTGGGGACCGAGTAGCCAGCCAAAACGGTCTCGTCTGTCACACTGTGTGGAAGCACCGTATGCCCCGGTGGGTGTCTACGGAGACCTTCCAGCACCACAGCCTTTAAGTATGGCATCTTCTGCACATCTTCTTCACTGATTTCCCCTTCTTCTCCGCTTTCTCCTCTGTTTCTGCTGACTACGCCTTTGATTTCTTCGTACAATCGATTTTGGATTTCTGGGTATTTCACGAGATTCGCCATTATCCACTGTAAGGCCGTCGCCGTCGTGTCGGTTCCGGCGTTGAGGAACTCCGAGCACAAGCTTATCATCTCGTTCTCGTTGAGCTTCCTCTTCTCGTCTGGCAGCTCGAGATCGAGCAGAGTATCGACGTACGATAGGACGTAGTCCTTGTGAGAAAGCCCAGATTTCGTCTTCTCGTCGACGATCTTCCTCCGGGCACAAATCAGTGGAAGCAACACGGCTTCTTGTTCTCTCCGGAGCTGGAGAAACTCTTCCCATTTCTTCCAGAAAATGAATTTGGTGAGCTTAGGCCAGAGGTTGAGGATATTGAATCTCCTAATACTCAGAAGCTGTCGTCGCTGAACGAATTCGACCTGTTTGATCTGTTTCTCGTCGAGCTTGTCCCCAAAACACATCAGCACAAGAAGAGCAAACATGGCGTAGTGGAGATGATCGACGACGACGACGACAGGCTTTTCCCCTCCACTCGTACGGAACCGATCCGCGAGAATCTGGAGAACCCATCTGCGTGCGTGGGAGTAAGATCTCACGCGCGAGGGGTGGAGGATCTCCGAGGTGAGATTGCGGCGGAGGAGTCGCCAGGTAGGTCCGTACGAAGCGGAACTGATGTTGTGTTGGTTGCTGGTGATGACCTTGCTCGTCGGAGGAGCCGGAGGGCGGTCGGCGAACACGGCGCCGTTTTGAATTAGGGCTTGGTGGGCGAGAGAGCGGTCGGCGACGAAAATCGCCGGACGAGTGGTGAAGTGGACGGGGACGATGGGGCCGAGACGACGGTGGAGGTCACGGAGGTGGCCCTCGAGACCGCCGAGGCCGTTGCGGACCCACCGTAGGGTTCCAATGAATGGGATGGCGCCGATGCCTGGAGGGAGAGGGAGGGAAGCGGCGGATCTGCGGCGGAGGAGGAGACAGATGGAGAGAAAGAGGAGGATGAAGAGCCATATCTCCATGCTTCTTCGCTCTGTTATAATCGGCTTAGTTTTTAGTGAAGGTGCTTTTGATATTTTAGATAGTATTTACATTATATAATGTATATGCGTCACGTGTGTGGGAAGTTCCATTTTCACGGCTTAGTATCAGGCCGCAGGCCTTCCAACTTATAGGACACTTTTTTTAAAACAAATATGAGTTTAAAATTTAATAATTATTAAACTTTTCAATTACAATTTTAAAAAATTAAAAGGATTAAATTTGGTTAAATTATGATATACCTTTTATATTGTAAATTTTTTAAAGTGTCAAAAGAAATTTAAAAAAATTAATTTGATGATAAATATTAATTTTTCATTCATATGTTTTTTTTAATAAAACATATTATTATATAAGAGTGTTTTTAAAAATGTTATGAAAACCAAGTTAATTTAAATTTTTATTATTCGTTAATCATACCAATTGATGTGTTTTCTCTGTATTTTATATTACGATAAATAATATAATTTATTTATTTAGTTTTTAGTTTTCAAAATGAATTAAACTTCTTTTTTTTAACTAGAAAATAAAAATGATTTATGATGATATTGTTAATTAAACTAAAAAATTATAAAAACACATTTTTGAAAGCCTCTTAAAGTTGCGAGGCGGACTACATGAAGAAGTATCAATATACTCGTCCTTTTTTTAATATGAAATATGATTGATATTTTATTTTCTAGTTGGTTATAAAAAAATTATATATAAAAGAGAATATTTTTTTATTAAGTTAGTTAATGATATTTTGAAATTTATTATAAAAACAAACATAGTATCATAGGTAACATAAAAGAAAAAAGAAAAAGGATATATTTATGATGAATATATATATATATATATATATAGGGGTTTGCCCCCAGGTCAGCTGGTTGTGAGCATGAGGTGCATCCATGAGGTAGAGGGTTCGATTCCTCGCCGTCTCACTTTCTCTGACATGCTCGTCTGCCAGTCTGTCATCAGCAGGCTCGTGTGCGTGGGTTTGAGGTTTGACCCGCAGACGCCTAAACCTAACTACGGTCCGAGCGTTAGGTGCGCCTGGTGGCCAGGTCCGGATAGGGGACCGTTAGGCACGGGTGGTGGTGGCCAGTTCGTCTCCGTTTGTAATGGAAAGTAGTCACGGGTTCCCAATGTATCAAATATATATATATGTATATGTTGAATATATATATATATACACACGTTTTTGTGCGGAATGAAAAAGACGTTTTACGAGACAATGTCATATTTTTGCAATTTTCATGGTCCTGAGGTCAACCTCTAAAGAAATTTACACTGATAATGTCCCAAACAAAACAAAAGCCACGAGATTCTTTAATTTTCGGATTTTTATGATATTGTTTCGTTTTGCGGGTTAAAAAAAATAATATTGATAACTAAAAAGAGAAAACATGATACTATTTATTTATAGAACAAATTATAATAGAATTAAACAAAAGTAAATCATTGAGGTGATATATTTATTTTTTTTAAATAACCGTATTTTAAAATCGAAGCCTAGATTGATTTTGAATAACTTAATTTTCTTCTACCAAATAATTTGATTTATAATTTCGAGCAACTAGAAATCAACTAGATAGAACATTGTTATATATATATAAAAAAAATCTATCTTAATTTTTTCTTTAAATTAATAAAGTTGCACTGAGAGTCAAAAGTCACAATGGAGCGTGTACATATATTTGTATAATCAGGTTCGAATTATACAAAATTTTAATTGGGTTCCTTTTCCTTCTTCCAATTTTATTGTGAATGGGTTAAGCTGGTAATTCTACTCGTTACATCTTACTATTAATTCAAATAAAGATACCAACAGCTACTTTTTATTTGTAATGTTTAATTTTATGGCCAAATATCGAAATGGAAACTGAAACAAGTATTTCTTAATCTTATGGCTAATAAGGGAAATGAATTAGATGTAAAGCTAAATGATTATGATTTCTTTCAAACCGAAAAAACCGAATCCCAATCGAATAATAACCAAAACACTGTAAATTTTCTTTTTTGAAAAAATGAGTATTTTTATTATAAGTTCCGAATCCGAACAGAATATAATCGAACCTAACCAGACCGAATTCAATGTAAAAATCAAACGGTTATAATTTTTCTAAAACTGGAATAACCAAACCCGAATATAACCAAACTGAATTCGAACCGAAACCGATTAAGTCACCCCAGAAACAAACAACCATCGTAGAAGAAATAAGACTAATGCACTCCTCAAGCCCAAGTTCATTCAAAGAACAACAAAGCCGAAACCATATGGACGAAACTTTTTTTTTTATTTGATAACCATTTTTCGCTTCAAAGTTTCTTTCTTTCCTCCAATAACTTCACCTAAAAAATCAGAAAGGTTTCAACTTTGTAACAAAAGCTAGAGAAACTTCTTCTCTATCTCTATCTAACAAAACAGAGAACATCTTTATCCTGAACAGGAAAGCATACCAGGCAATGTCGGAACAAATCCTGGTAATGGCCATGTGGGGCATTTTTTCAAAGCAGGTACTTCTCCACAACGGTCCTGCCAAGCTTCTCCTGAACATCCTTTGGCGTTTCGATCTGAGAAAACCAAGTTGACGAGTGGGATTTTGATTCATGCACAATGCTTTAAACACGACAATCCGTCGATTGATCAAAACACTTACAGCGTTCAAAGCTTTCAAGACGGCTTTAACGGTGTTGTATGGGTTTCTTGAACCAATGACCTGGATGGATTTCAGTCAAAGTTAACAACCAGAGCCCAGCCATGCTTGAGAAATATATTTTGAAGTTGAAAGAGGAACTCGAAGGGGAGGAGCATTGCACCTTTGATTTGATGTTCTTGAAACCGGCTAGATTCAAGATTGTTTTAACGATTCTTCCCGCTGCCATCCCTGTTCTAGTTGGTGCAGGCCACAGATACAGCTAGTAACAGGTCCAGGTTCAAATCATTAGGATTCAGATTTATTGACAAATACCGTATAATCAGAAGCTTCTATTCCTTTTTCTGTGTGAAGGAACAAGGAAAACAAACTGCTAAACGTGGAGGTAGAAGATTACCTTGGTTTTCTTGTACGAAGTCTGTATTGCATGTGCTATAGTGTGCTCCTCGTGACGCTCTATGTAATGAAGATTTTGGAAGCATTTCTCATATGCCTGTTTACATGAGTCAATAACGGTTACTAATATCAGAAGCGACCAAGCCATAAATACAACAATTTACAAAACCTGGGTTCTTAAACAAGTGCAGGCAGAAAACTCCACAGATAAGTAACTCAACATGCAGGAGATGAAAAGTAACACAATGAACCAAACGGTTTTTGAGTCAAATGATTATAGTCAGCAAGGACCAATACTTGAGATTGAGCCTTGTGAAGTATCTTGAAGTGGAAACAGAGTGTTGATATCTATATTGAGCTTAGGGAAAACCAATGTCATATTCCAGGCACCCATTATAACAAGGCAGCAGAGAAGAAAAAAAGGCAGAGAGAGGAAAAATATGGAATTGCACAACTAAGCTCGAAAGTCGAAACTCATCTGATATGGAATCTGAAAACTATAAGCCTTACATCAAACAAAGGTTTACCGGAACTCTTGTTAACGATGATAAATTAATCATTTGCTTTATTATATTAGGATCAGAGATGAGTATTGACAATGTCAGACTACCTTCTGCATTGCAGCCTGGGCAGTGTCGGCTTTTGCTTTTGCATAGCCAATAACGCCTTCATAGTTCCCACAAACCATCAAGGCAGTGTATCTTTCCTTTCTGCCACCCTAAAACAAAACAATTTTCTTTCACAACCACACAATAAAATGGAAACATAAACAAACTGAAGAAACACAGATGTCAAGAAATATGTACCTTTGTGACTTTACAGACTCTGTTTACATCTATTGTTCTGACGTCAAAGCCCTGCCAAGAACATGTTCATGAACTTGTCAGCACAAATGTTCTTATATTCTTTCTTAATGCTTAACAATTAAGCAATAGATTGAATGATAAGATGGACGGTTTAAGAAAGGAAAGAAGGATATGCTGCAACACACTAAACAACAAGCATCATGGGTTTTAACTTAAAAACTGAATAAAGCTCATTGTGGCCATCCCACAGTTGTAAATATAGTCATCTATAACCAAGCATACAGAATACACTGTGTTGGCAGCATGGATTGAGACTAAGAATTTGTTAGTATGATGCATTGAAAAAGCACCGAAAGCATTAAAGTGGGCGCCATTCACCGAAAGCATTAAAGAGGCTGCTCAACCTAACAGCAAAAGTACCAGAGCCACACCAGTCTAACCGCAAAACCATAGATCTGGGGAAACGCCTTCAATCTACATTATTGTTTACCAAGCCTAAAACATTGACACTTTAAAACTGCTGCCTGTTAAGATGTTCTCTGTCACATTGTTCACTAAAAACACCTAGGATCTCTATTTGAACCTTCAAACAACTCGAATTTAACATACTATCACACACACACACACACATATATCAACTAGCTCGACAGATCAGGCTGCCATATTTACTCATCAAGGAGAAAAAGGTAGAATGGAGCAGACACTCACTTTTCTGTAAAAGGGCTGTCTTGTCTTTTCCGTCAAAGCATTTCTCTCTTCTGCTAGATCTCTAATCTCTTCTTCCAACAGTTTCCCTTTCTTCCCAAAAGTATGTTCAAGTTCAGCAAGCTTCTGTTCAAGTTTCTTGTCGATTGCATTGAGCTTCTCCAATAGCATATCATCCCTCTCTTTCATATCATCAAACTCCTCATCCTCGTCCTTACCATCATCATCATCCTTATCCCTATCTTCTACAAACAACTGTTCCTTTTCTTTCTCAGTTTTTTCACCACGGGCACCTGAAACCGCATTCTCACGTTCGATGACTCCATAATTGAATGGGTTGTTAGGATCAAAGGACTCTTTCCACTCCACCAACTTCATCGCCCTGTTTAGTTTCTGCTGGAGAATGAACTTCTCTTTTCCTTCCAGCACCTTCAACCGGTTCATCAGCTCTCCAATAACCCTGTATTCTGCTCGGATTTTGAAATGTTTCTCCTCAAATTTGTCTATTTTGTTCATCCACTTAGAGGCCTCATCAAGCGTCTCTGCCAAACAACAGTATAAGTCAATCCAGTACTTCCGAAAATCTATTGACTGATTCCAGAAACTCTTACATGAACTACTTTCACACTCCAAGTGACGAAAAAATCCAGGCCCCCAGTTCTTAACAAAGTTCAATTCCAAAAATACACCAGCCGAAAATCCTTCAGTAGAAACTCCAAATTACCCTCACACAACCGACATGAAGTATCAATTTTGTACATTTACAGGATGTTAAATGCTCACATAGCAGAGGATACATAGACATGCTTACAAACGCAAATGATTCAGTATATGATCAACTTATAAACGGAAACACTCTTACGTTAAATTGATTACTGCATCAGGCAATTCACAAAAATCGAGCCCAGTAAACTCGGAAACACATTTACCATTAAAGGATATAACAGAACACAATAAAAGGTTTGGCTTCTAATTTCTGACACTCACGAACAAATACAGATAAAATGTTACAAGCGTACTAAGTAGAAGGAAAATGGCATACCGCAATCGGCTAAGCCCTGAAGCAGATCCTTGTGTCTCTGGTGCTTCTTCTTAAAGATTTCATCTTTCTTCCTCTCGGCATCCCAATCAATTTCTTCGAATTCACTGTCCGAATCCGTCGGCTCCTCGTACCTGTTTAAATCACCAGTTTCCTTCGCATTCAGTTTCTCAAGCTTCTCGATAAAGGGTCCAATACCCAAGTAATCTTCTTCATCTTCCGCATCAATGTCTTTGGTATCCAACCCTTGTCTTCTCCTTTCCTGCCTCTCACGCTCCCTGTCCTTCTCTATATCCATTCGAAGATCATTCAAAGCTCTCGCAGCTTCCGCCCGCGACATTCGGGAGGATGTGGAGAAACGAGATCTCTGCGGCGCGTTCCATGGAATCAGATTTCTGGGAAAATGCGGGGAAACGGAGAAATTCCGGGAAAATAGCGACGGTGATGGAGGGTTAGCAACAACGCCAGCGGGACCAGCAATACTAGGGTTTCGGAGATGATTTCTGTAGACAAGGAGACGGGACCATGAAGATGCACGGGATTTGGAGAACATCGTCGTTACTTGCTCATCTGATAGAAAACAGCTGAAGAAACTGAGAAACCCTTCGAAGAAATGAGTTAGGGTTTTGTGTTTTTGTTGGTTTCTGCAAACGTGTGAGGATCAAATTTAATGGGCCGAATTCCGCGTGATAGGCCCATATTGTACAATTCGGGTCGGGTTTATTGTTTCGACCAGAAACCCCTCCCGCCAAAATTTATAACTCGAGTCGGGTTTGAAGTTTCGACCCGATAATTTGCCCACAACACATTCTTTTTCTTTAAAAAGAAAAAGAAAATGCGATTAATAAAAACCTTTTAATATGCTCAAAAGTCAAAACCACAAATTCAAACTTTTTTTTATGAAAATATTTATTTTTATATATTGTAATTTATTTATTTATAATTTAATATACCCAAAATCAAATTTTTTTGGCATAATCTCTTAGTTTTAAAAATAATATTTTGAAATTTCAAATTTTAATTTACTAATTTGATATATTTAAGTATTCGGATATCTACGAAATAACTCGTCAAAAATTAATGAAATCCAAATCTGAATCCATCTTCTGAATTTTTCGTGTTGCCGAATTTGACATTTATGTTAGGAAAAATCGCAGATAAATACCTGTACTTTTACAAAACTCCCAGATAAATACATGTACTATAAAATTCCCAGATAAATACCTATACTTTTCAAAAGTACCATATAAATACCCATACTTTTAAAATTTTACCAAATAAAACATATATGGTTGACGGGTTTAACGTGTCGCTGTTCAACAGTAAAAAATCGATGATTCAGCTTTATTAAATCCGACTAAGCATCCACATGTTTTGCCACGTCGGACTAACCGGTTCACTAATTAATCGGACCGGTTTAACAAAAAACCAATCCGGTTTGGTAAAAAAAATGGAAACCCTAGATTTTTATAATTCTCATCCTCTTCCCACGATTCACGATTCAGTGGCTTTCCATTTTTTCCATCTCCCCAGTCCTCTCACTTTCTCCTCTCTGTTCCTCATCGGCTTTCTCCTCCTCCTCGAGTCGTCGTTATTCTTCACCGCCGGCCTATCTCCCGCGTCCTACCTCGTCGGTTCTTAGGTAGTGTGAATTCCATTTTCAAAATTTTAGGGTTTATGTTTCTTAGATTTCAGATTCATGTTGATATTTGAGTGGTACGCTTTTGTTTTCCTAGATTTAAGTTTATGTTGAGTTCTTCTTTGTGGTTGGATTATGTTGATTGATGAGTTTCAGATTGCGCTGTTTGCAGAGATTCAGATTCATGAGTTCGACAGATTCACAAGTTTGTTGCAGTTCTAGATCATCCAAACAAAAAGGAATACCACAACAATGTGAATGTGGACGCTCCATTATAAAATTGATATCGAAAACTTCAAAAAACCCAGGAAGATTGTTCTTCTGTTGTGAATCACAAGAGGTTAGTTTTACATTTGTTTATGCGATCTAGGAAGAATGGTAAATAAATTACGATGATTCGTTTCAGGGAAATTATTCACACATGTGGAAATGAGTCGATGAAGCCATTATCGAAGAACTACAATCATTGAAAGAGGAGATGAAAGTTCGAAATGAGAAGATCGAAGTTCGGGACGAGAAGATCGTAGTTCAAAATGAGAAGATCGAAGTTCGTAATGACAAGATTGAAGTTCAAAATGAGAAAATGAAAGTTCGGATTGATAGAATCGAAGCTAGAGTTAAGAAGATTAAAGCTCAGGTTGAAGAATTCAAAGGAAATTGTCAAAAAATGGTCATAGGAATGATGGTTTTTATTTCGTTTGGGTTGTATTATTATGGTTTATTGAAGGGGTGAAGTCGTTTATGTGTTGGGATTTGTCATGGACTAATGTTTCTATGTTATTATTGGTATTAATGTCAGGAATCTATGTTTCGTTGTTCACTTGTTTTTTTTGTGTTGGGATTGGTCAGAAAAAAATTATAGAAATCACAAACATGTGAATTCATTAATCTGAAATCTAAACAAAATACATAGATATGCCAAAGATTCAGATAGACAAAAAAAACAACCCAAAAACAACCGATACAGTATTCTAAACCAAAAACACAAACAGGTCCGATTCAGAATTCTAAACCAAAAACCCAAAGACTACCGATACAGAATTCTGAAACAATAGTCAATACAGAATTCTGAAACAAAAAAGAGTAGTCAATACAGAATTCTGAACCAAAATATAAACTCCTAATATCCGAAACCTATTTCACTTGTTTCCCGGGTTTGATGGAGGAGCTGGCCTTGGAACCTGAAATAGTCTACCCGTATATGAAGTAACAAATATCATGGAAGATGTATTTCGGTTACGCGGTCCTCCAAGAGGTCGAGTTGATCGATAACGAAGACGTTGTGAAGTTGAAGGACCACTCTGGTTAGATTGGACAGAAGGCTGATTACTCTGGCTGGATTGAGTAGGAAGAGGCATTTGTTGAGTTGATTGGGCTGAGGGATGGTTCTGTCTTGGTCTAGGGTGACGATTCTGTCTAGTTCTTGCAGGATGAGCTTGACTCGATGGACCAACCTGGACAGAATTTTGACTCGATTGGACCGAATCGACAGAAATATTGGTCGTTGTTCTGGTTCTTTTTTATGGTTCGGGCTGTCTTGATTGTCCACCGACCTATTTACACAAAGGAAAAAATTGATCAGTAGTTTATTACCGTTTAAAAAAATCTATGAAATACATATACCTGTAATTTTCTTGGTCTTCCTCGTCCTCGTTTCTGGACATTATTTTGCACCGGATCATTTATACACGTGCTTGTATTATGCCCAGGCTGCTTACACCGACTACATGTCTTTACCCTTCCATGACGTGTCATATGACCTTTCTTTGTAGGAGATTCGTGAGGATCCTTTTTTCGGTTATGTTTCCTCGGTCGTCCGGGCATTGCCCGCTTCTCGGGTACACCGATAGGTTCTTTTCCCAATTTCCGCCACAGTGGCTCTCCATTTACTGGTAACAGATTTTTCTCATATGTTTGTTTCCATTTTGATGTCAGAAAAAACTCTGGAGAATACCTGTAACAGATTTTTCTCAAAATGAGGATTACAACTTATAGTAAGAAACTTACTCAAGAATAGTAACAAGCATACCTTGTAATGTCGTCTTTTCTTGCATTGAGCACACATAATGCATGTTCACATGGTAATCCGGTTAAATTCCATCTCCGGCAAGCACAAGTCTTCCCACCAAGGTCTACGGTATAACTTATACTGAAATGTAAAACTTCATATTTGCCATGTCCACTTGGTATCGCCATACAATAGACCGACCTCTGTCGAACAACTTCGATGTCGTCCATTACATCTGGTGGAAATGGAGTGATACAAGAGCTGGACTGGCGTTGCCGCTTCGCAATTCTTTGCATTGTTTGTCGCCTGATACTTTCCAGAATGTCAATCATAGGTCTCATACGTGCTTCTCTGATTGACCCATTGAAACTCTCCGACAAATTGTTGTTTACATCATCACACTTGGAGTCAAGACTAAAGAACGCTCGTACCCATTGTTTCGGTCTAGAACGGATCAATGCCTCATATGCCAGCTGATTATAATTCTTTACAGCTTCCATATGCTTTTGAAACTCACCCTCATGGAAACTGTTAGCAGCTGCCCAAAACAATCTCTTGAGCTCCAAATCTTTGAATGACTTCCTCCAATTGGCACATATGTGTCGAGTACACATACGGTGATGAGCAAATGGAAGTATATCCTCAATAGCATTTAACAGACCCTGAAAGCAAATACAAAATCAAAGCCATATAATGCTTGTTCAACAGATTACATATAATGAAAACAAATAAACACAAACTTCACCTTCTGTTTATCTGAAAGTATAGTAATATTGTGTCCTTCCCCCAAGTCCAAGTCTGCTTGTAATTTACGTACAAACCAAGTCCAACTATCGGTATCCTCCACGCGTACAACTGCCCATGCTATAGGATAAATCCGGTTGTTCGCATCTCTTCCAACAGCAGAAAGGAGTTCTCCTTTAAGCTCCCATTTCAAAAAACATCCATCTAACCCGATCACAGGACGCCAATGTTTCTTCCAAGTCTCACGTAAAACCTCGAAACATACATAAAATCGATCGAAAACGAGTACACCTTTCTCAAGTTTTGTCACAATTTCAGTAGTTGTGGTTGGATTTGATCTCTTAAGCTCCGCTTCATAATCCCATAACTTTGCAAACTGAACTCGTTGATCCTCCACTAACACTCCTAACGCAATTTGTCGAGCCTTGAAACACTTTGATAATGACACAGTCATCTCACAAGTTGTTTGCAAATCATATTGCATCTGAGCAGCAGGGTATGAAGGTTGTCTTCTGAGCATTTCGGTAAACATGGCTGCGATGTGCCTCATCGTCAATAGTGATACATATCCATCTTTCGTGTGGTTGTGATCCGGGTTATATGTTTTTATCAGCCATTTATTAAAACGGCCATCTACTGAACAATACACTCGCCACGGACAGGTCTTCGTACCACACACAACAACATATTTCGTCTTCTCCGATCTCGATATTCTAACGTTATATTTAGTACTCAACATGTATTGGAAAACAACATCTTTAAATTCCTCAGCATTGTTGAATGTCTTACCAAAGCTTATATGATCCTCTCCTTCAACAGATAATCTTTTTTTCAGACCGCCTAAGTTAGGCTTTTCAAAAGCCTCCCACTCATCTGCTGTATTTTCTGGTGTCTTATTTTTCCGACATTTTGTACGGTTTAATTATGACTATTCGGACATGTGATTGTTTCGCGATACTAATCGCTTGTTGTACTTTCCGCTGCTACTTTGATATGTGATTTAAAATGTTTTTGTTTTCCGCGTTTTTCGCTTCCGCAAATTTGTTAATTTAATATTTTATTCTATATCGTCCATGTGGCACAGCCCGTATACTGTACACGGGTTACGGGTGTCACAACAACCTCTTCTTCTGTACCCTCTTCTTCTACAGCCTCTTCTTCTCTACCCTCCTCTTCTACAACAAATTCTTCTCTAAATCCTTCCCTAACATCCTCATCCTGAACCTGTTCTAGTACAACATTTTCATTCCTAACCTCTTCTTCACTGAACTCTTTCTCCAAAACATCCTCGTTCGGAATCTCTTCTTCAACAATGTCATCCGGACACTCTTGACTATCGGGGAGACTTAACACAACATTTGCTTCTGATATCTGATGATCTACATAGATATCTATCTTCTTCCATTCCTCAGCTAGTTTACACATATCACAAACTTCCCAAACTACATCTTCATGACATACCCTCAATTCTTGCATTGTTTCATGAGGCAACTTATACAACATCATAGAAATAGGAGATGATATCTTATGGGATTGCACAAACTCCTCAAAGAAAAACCATGATAACTTATCTGGATCGAACTTCACTCCATCGATGTTGCATCCGCCTATGTAGCTGAGTTCTCCATCCACATTTATCATTGTTCCTCCAAAATGAAAATTGACATCGATTTTGTTTGCCATTTTTCATAGCAGATTAAAATGTAACCCTCCACAAATTTTAAAAACTTATTATCAACCAAAAATCGAACTCTGAAACCTATACCCAAAACCGAATTGAAAACTGTCATTTATATCACAACCAAATTCAAAAATCGAGCTCCAAAACCATAACTTATGATAGAACCTATACCCACAACCGAATTATATATCCCAAAATCGAACCTAAACCTATAATCTAACCTATACCCAGAACCGAACATATACCCAGATTCGAACAGATAATGAAGAAATCAACTCTAACCTTTCTATACCCAGAATCATGGATTCGAAACCTAAAAAGGACCAAAGAAAGAGAAGGCGAGATACGGACAACCCAGAGACTCGAACCCTTACACCAACGAAAGAGAGAGTGGAGGTGAGAGACCGGACTTGAGAGTCGAGAGTCGAGAGAGAGTTAACACATACCTTCACAGAGAAATCGAAGAGAGGAGAGCGCCGATTCACCACTAAGATGAGAGTTCTCCAAGTCGCACGAAATTCGCCCTCCGTTTTTAATTTCTAGGGTTTCTAATTTTTCCCAGATTTAGAGCGCACGATTCTCAATTGGGGATTTTAGGGCTTTTGAAATGTTTACAAAACCGGGTTGGTTTTTTGTTAAACCGTTTCGATTAATTGAACCGGTTAGTCCGACGTGGCAAAACACGTGGATGCTTAGTCGGATTTTATAAAGCTGAATCTTCGACTTTTTTGGTTGAACAGTGACACGTTAAACGCCGTCAACCATATATATTTTATTTGGTAAATTTTTAAAAATATGGATATTTATATGGGACTTTTGAAAAGTATATGTATTTATCTGGGAATTTTATAGTACAAATATTTATTTGGGAATTTTGTAAAAGTATAGGTATTTATCTGCGATTTTCCGTTTATGTTATTACTTCTCCATTCTAGATACTCAAAAAATTTGTGGATATCGGATAAAAATCCAAACATAATTAGAATATAAAATTGTAACTCAAGTAATCAATAACATATAATTTTATCTAAACCTAATTCGATAATGTATGATTTTGTTTAAATCGTATGTAGAAAATCAAATGAATATTATTTTTTTAAGAGAGAATTTCAATTTCGAGTCAAAACATTTTTTTTATCAATAAAAGCCCAATTTAGAATATACCCCCAAGAATACAGAATCGGGTTAAATCAAAACTAATATAAAAAATGAAACAATTATTTTTAAATTGAAAAACTTATACTTAATTATCTATAATATTACCACATCTAATTGTTTCTTTCTAGAAACTTATACTTAGTATCTACAATAAAAATATAATAATTGTCATATTTCTTCTAGCCAAGTTCTGAAAGTTAGACCAACAAAACCGCATCTGAGGTCTGTTGTTATCGAATCTCATAATCGACGGCTGGAGATTCCAACCGGTTCCAAAGCTTTTCAAAATTCGAGTGAAGAGATTCGTCGGTGGCAATGATTTTGCGCTTTTGTTTCTCGATTTAGTTCAGTACCTGAGAATTTCTCTCATTTCCTCTGCGATTGGATTTTAGGGTTTTAGGTCTGTACTGCATCATGGATGAAGACCAGGAGATGGAGAGGTTCGACATGGATAATGACTACGAAGGTGGTCGTTACATTGGTGACGAGTACTTCTACGAAAGGCGGAAGGATAAGCGGAGACAGACGAAAGAGGATGCTATCTATGGATGCTTCGCTGAGTATGATTCGGACTCGGATGACTCCGGCGGTGGTCGGAGGAAGAAGCGGAAAGACCGGGATCCAGGGAGGAAGGCAGATTTGACCAAGCCTGTCAATTTTGTGTCTACAGGTACGGTCATGCCAAATCAGGAGATTGATAAGGACTCTAGAGAAGAGGATGGTGAGAAAGAGGGTAGGAGGAGTGACGATGACGTTGACTCGCTAGATGGGGATGGTAATTTTAGGGGTGGTTTGGGTAGTGGAAGTTCCCGGTCTGGTTTAGGTTCAGGGTTTGTCCGGTTTGATGTAAATTCGTTTGTTAAGAGAGATGGGGGAAAGGTAGCTAAAGATGCTGATGATGGAGATGTTGAGGATGGGGAGAATCTCTTACCCGGTTCATTTGGGAGGAAGATAACAGAGAGGGCAAAGTTGAGGGAGAAGGCTAAGACAGAGGACAAAAATAGAAATAGTGGGAGAGGAGGAAAGAAGGATGCTCCGAATGGTGAGGTTGGGCAATTCGAGAAGTTCACCAAAGGGTTTGGCATGAAAATGCTTGAGAAAATGGGGTACAAAGGAGGTGGGCTTGGAAAGAACGAGCAAGGTATTGTTGCTCCCATCCAAGCACAGTTGAGGCCGAAAAAAATGGGTATGGGTTACAATGATTTCAAAGAGACTGGTGCAAAGTTGCCTGGTACGAAGCAGGTTGAGGAGAAGAAGACTGTAACAATTGGTATCAGCGAAAATGAGCAGATACATGGCGAGAGAGGGAAAAAGCTGTGGAAGAAAAAGAAGGTGAGGAAAGAGGATAATTTTCTTACTGCTGAGGAGTTTTTGGAGAAGAAGGAAGAAGAGGGATTTGGTGGTGGGCAGGCCATTATTGACATGCGAGGACCACAAGCCCGAGTTGTGATTAACTTGGAAAATTTAAATGCAGAAGAGAAAGCCAGAGAAGCAGATGTTCCAATGCCCGAGTTACAACATAACTTGCGCTTAATTGTCGACTTAGTCGAGCATGAAATTCAAAAGATTGATAGAGATTTGAGGAATGAAAAGGAGTCAGCTTTAAGCTTGCAGAAAGAGAAGGAGAGACTTGAGATGGAAGAGAAAAGACAGAAGAAACAGTTAGACAACATGGAATATATTGCAGATGAGATTACCCGAATTGAGGCAGAGAATACATCAGGAAATCTGACTTTGGATGCACTTGTGAATCGTTTCAATGATCTCCACATGAGCTATCCCGATGATTATAAGATATGCAACTTATCATGTATCGCTTGCTCATTAGCCTTGCCTCTCTTTATTAGGGTATTTCAGGGTTGGGATCCTCTGAAAGATCCCAAGCATGGTATGGAAGCTATATCCTCTTGGAAAAATCTGCTGGAAGTCGAGGAAGACCAAAATATTTGGGTTACCTCAACACCTTATAGCCAACTGGTCTCAGAGGTGGTGTTGCCCGCTGTCCGGATAGCAGGAATCAATAGTTGGGAGCCGAGAGACCCTGAACCGATGCTGAGATTCTTAGAGTTGTGGGAAAAATTGTTGCCATCACCTGTCCTCCAGACGATATCAGACACAGTAGTGATGCCAAAATTGTCAATTGCCATCGATTATTGGGATCCACGAAGAGAGACTGTTCCGATCCATGTTTGGGTTCATCCCTGGCTGCCAATGTTGGGTCAAAAAATGGAGGGTATGTATCAGACAATCCGGATGAAGCTGAGCAATGTCCTCGATGCTTGGCATCCGAGTGATGCATCAGCATATGCTATTCTTTCGCCATGGAAAACGGTATTCGATCCTGTGAGCTGGGAGCAACTTATGTGCCGGTACATAGTTCCCAAACTACAGCTAGCTTTGCAAGAGTTTCAAATAAACCCCGCGGACCAGAAACTGGATCAGTTCAATTGGGTTAAGACATGGGCATCTGCAATTCCAATGCATCTCATGGTCGATCTGATGGAGAGAATCTTCTTTCCCAAGTGGCTCCAGGTCTTGTACCACTGGTTGTGTTCAAACCCGAACTTTGAGGAGATCAACGATTGGTACTTGGGTTGGAAGGGAACATTCCCTCAAGAGCTTCTGGCAAATGAAAGCATCAGAAGTCAATTCACACGAGGTCTCAGCATGATGTCACAAGCAGTAGAAGGGGTCGAAGTGGCTCAGCCCGGTGCAAGAGAGAACATAAGTTACCTCAGGGCTCAAGAGCAAAGACAGTTCGAGGCTCAGCAAAGGGCGGCAGCTCGGGCACAGGCACAGGCACAAGCTCAGATGGATGGAACAGGCGAGATGAGTTTGAAAGAAGTATTGGAATCGTTTGCACAGGAGAACGAGTTATCGTTCATACCAAAACCGGGTAGGAAGCATAACGGTTTACAGATTTACGGGTTTGGAAACGTAAGTATCGTGATAGACTCGATGAAGCAGAAGGTGTTTGCACAAAAACCCGAAGGTTGGTTCATTGTAACTCTTGAAGATTTGTTGAGGATGCATCACAATTCTGTCCGTGGGAGGCGATGAAGTTGATCCTTGAATCTCCTCGGTGATCCATTCCGGCATTGCTTTTGGTTGTTAGTCACACCAGATGATTTTGTGCGTCTGAGTACCTTCTTTTGGAGTAATCTTTGTTCCACCGACATATATCCACAAAGAAGTAGATGTAATGCAATTCAAACTTTCAAAGTATATTCATTATTGTACGTTTTGTTGTTCACTAGTTTTTTGTAATATAAAAAAATATAAAGTTCATTATAGCAAATTTCTTCTCACTATCATGTGCATTTTCTTAACATGTAACACTGAAACGATGATTAAAGTTGAGTTCATCTAACATTGATACGATGAGAGAACAGATAAATAGATGGTATATACATAATATTACTATTTAGTTTTATATGAATTAACTTGAAAAATTAAAATGAATTTTAATGGCTATAGTCTATAGACACGTGATATGGTATATACACACACACAAACACACACACACATATATATATATATATATAGTGTTATGGTGGAAATTAGGGGAGAAAAGGATAGATATAATATAAGGAGCTTATATGTATACACGTGTGATGTCGTCTGAATTCGTTGGTGTGACAGAACGGTTCTACCAAATGATGCATGGCAGGTCGGTATCCTTTCGCTGGTTGTGTTGCATCCCCATGGCTGCTTGCCACACGCAAAAGGACAACGTCATCACATTAGCCAAGTTTGTTTAAACAAATACTATTTTGAATTCCCCTACATTTCCATGATCGGATAAACTTCAACCAAAAGAGATCAACTTGTTTCACATCACCCAATCTCCTATAGAAATCAATATCAGAAACCAAAATATATATATATATATATATATATATATGTTCATTCATGAGACCCATTTGAAGTTACAACCTTTACTCATGGAGAATGGAATCAAAATCCAAACTCATTTTCAACGTAGAGAATAACAAAGCCTAGACACGGAGAGACACTTGCAAGCAAGCGAAGAGTGTCAGAAAAAAAGGCTATACTTACTTGTTCCTCTGCCTTAACCGAGAGAAGGCAACATTGGGTCAATGCCAAGTCCTGGTGAGCCTCCTCCCAGGCTTCCAGGGTCTGCGTGTTTCACTCTCCCGAAGTAGCGTACGTGACGCAGCAGCCTCGCCAGGAACGTGTTGTGGCAGATAGTCGAGCTATCGCACACTACTGCCACGTGTTTCCGAGCTCTTGTTATGGCGACGTTCATTCTCCTGCTATCTCCCAAGAATCCCACTGCGCCTAAGTTGTTAGACCTTACCTAAATTGTAACACACATATACAACATGTGTTAGTTTTACAGTAGACAAATATTGTTCACTACGTAGCCAAATCTTGCTTCAGAAGAAGAGTCATAAGGGTGGACAAATGTATACGCTACCCGCGGATCTGTCACCAGTTTTAAATCCCTACCCGTTGGACAGATAACATAAAACCGTCCCATATCGGAAACCCGAAAATCGGATAACCATGAATCGAGTACTTACGGATACCCGATTTTCGGATATTTATGTCCACCCTAAAGAAGAAAAGCCTCATTGTCCTAACAAATTGGATGGGGCTATAGGTTTTTCATGCATCCAACGTTGAACTGAGGATTAAAGCATACAAAGGGCTTTATCGGTTGAATGACCTAAATGCAACTGTCAAAATGGTGTGCTTTTCATTTTAATCATCACAAAGGGAGGTCAATGGACATTACTAGCTAGACTCAGTCACGGAATGATTTTTTCCCTCTCTAGGAATCTAAGAAACCATAAACCTTTAAACTGCTGTGAGCAGGGGAATCTCGGTTTGCTTGCAAAGCTATGATGCTGAAGAAGTCGAAATTGGAGTGACATGAAAAAAATTGCAAGTCACATGACCATTGGAAAAGTTTAAGAGCATACCATCGATATTATCACTGCATCAGCCTCCCGACCTTGAAAGCTGTCGATGGTTGCAACCTCGACACCCGCTGCCTCTGGAAAATCATCCAGCCTTTCTCTGAGGAGCTGCACTTGCGCAACATATGGTGATTGAACTGCAATAGCTGTTGGACTAACACCTGCAACAACAACATCGCCTTAATCCCAAGTTTATTTGGGGTCGACCGCATGGATTCTTCGTTTCCACTCATTTCGATTTTGCGTTAGTTTTTTCGGAATTTGTAACAATTCCAAATCGTTCCTAATTACACGTTCCCAAGTAAGCCTAGGTCTATCCCTTCCCTTTTTCTTCACCCCCATTCCTATACCATCCACTTTTCTAACCGGCGCATCCATCGGCCTACGTTTCATATTTTAAAAAAACTGATTTTTAATAGGTTTTCAAGCTGAAAAGTGGAAAGATTATTAACTTTGATTCATCAGCTTAACTTCCATATAGTCATTGAACTGAAAAATTCCGGTTACCTGCATAAATTAAAGAAAAGACGTGATGAACCACGATATCTGCTTCCCCTTCATTGTAAAATGAGCCGGTACCAGCTGGATCTAGACGCTCCTCACATCCCACTGATAAGCTCCCATACGGCATTCTTGTGTCAAGCAGAAGCAAAGGGCATTGCGTTATCCAAGTGCGCTGCAATAAGTAACAGAATAAGCCATGTTTGATACATCAAAGTGCCACAAAACTCAAGAACCCATACTACTTACAATCTACAAACTAGAAAATGTTCTTTCATTTGTTCTTATGCTGTTTCAATGTAAACAACATAAGTTTATTTTCGCTAGGCGGCGCATTACTGCAAGAGAAGTCAAGAACGGCCCAAAGGATGAGAAAGCACAAGAGGAAGAATCAAGAAGCAGAGAAAATATTAAAAAATCATATGCAATTTTTTAGGAAAGTTTCATGAGGAAATGATTTAGGCTAAATATAAAAAAAAACATGAAAGTATGAAATCCATTTGTGTGAAAAAATTTAGTATTTGCTATTGCAACACCGAAATCAACCAATTGACCAAAGCGTAACCAGTTTTGGTTTCAGAAAATGGAGCTGCTTAAAGAAACAACCAAGTTTTTTCTCGGCATTTGCTGGAATATAAAAGCTTAAAATGTAAACTAGCTGGCTACTCTTCTAAGTGTAGTAGGTAAAAAGATGCAGAAATGAGGAATAAAGCCTCATAGGACCACCTTAAATCCAAAATCTGAGAGGATTATAGATGCATATCATGTCACCATTTCAGGCAGAGAGCTAAACCCGTAGAACGGTACAATCAGATTAAGAAATATATTACCTTCACAAAGGGAGAATCAACCAGCAAATGAGAAGCCACGGTAGGAGAAGATTCCAACAATCCACCATACATCTCCTTTGATGCCCAACTAGCAATCACATCATTCATACGGTACTGAGTCGTTAGCTTAGTCGCGAGAACCCCACCATGTAAAGTTGTGGCTCTTTCCAGTAAAGATATACCGAGACCGCCTTCTAAAGCTCTCCTTGATAGAATAACCGGTGCCAGCTGGCAATGATCACCAGCAAGAATGCAGCGTTTACCTTGCAATATTGGGATCCAGCAGGAAGGCTCAATAGATTGACCAGCTTCATCTATAACAACCAGATCAAATGTTTCTAGCCTCCTAATCAAAGGGTCAGCTGCTCCAGTGTTAGTTGCAAGAACTACCTGAGCATTTGACAGCACTTCTTTGACAGTTTCCTTCTCCTTCTTCTTCAGCGTTTTCCCAATCTGTTTCAGGAGCTGCCGGATGCCAGCTGCCAGAGAATCATCCTCCAGACATTGCCGGAGGTCTTTTCTTAAATCTGATTTCTTCCTTTCAAGTTCTGCTCGGAAGCTTGCAAGTTTGGAGTTTACGATTTTCCCCAAAGATTTTGATGCAACGCCTGACGATATTCTCGCAGGATTTCCGACACGGACAATGTTTAGCCCAAGATATGAGAGCTTTTCGACCATATTATCAACAGCGGCATTGGTTGGTGCTGTTACAAGAACTCTTTCCCCTTGCTGAACAGCGAGTGTGATTAGCTCTTTGAGCATTCCGGTCTTCCCAGTGCCAGGAGGTCCTTGAACTATCAAAACAGGCCGCTTTTTGTTCAACCCCAAAGCAATTGCTCTTCTCTGGTAAACATCAAAATGTTCACACCCAACTGGTTCATCGGCCAACTCTGCCTCGGACCAATCTACAAAACCATTCTGTTCTAGCCATGTTATGTCTTCTCCATCCCCAAATAGTGTCGCCACCACGGCAGTTGATGGATTTTTCTTATGCAGACCATGCTTCTGCAGCAACATTAGGGCTTCACAGTTGCGCTGCAGAAAAAGACTTCAATAAGCGAGTGATAGAAGTTCTTTTGTAGTATCAACTATCAAGATGTACGCCCGATACGTGCAAAAGGCAACAATGAAACAATACTAAGATTCATGCACATGTAATTTCATCGAAATTCAATGAAGATACAAAGTCCATTCTACCTCGTATGTTACTGTATCTGCCAACCCATGAATGCGATCAATTCTCACTCTCTTTCCAAAGAGCTTGGAGAAAGTCGGACCTCCATGGCGAGATTCTAAAGCCACACTGATGCTGCATCCGTCATCCCCAAGGTTGTGAACAAACCCCTGCATGCAAGAAGTCGCACCAGCTCCCCTACTGTCGCATATCCGTATACAAACCATGTCACCAGGAGAAAGGGTAGTTGGGGGGAGACGGTGGTTTCCTCCCACCTTAAACGAAACCAAGTGCATACCTCCAAGTCCTGCTTAGAAAATACATATTATGGGAATGGTTGAAAAAAATGTAACACTTCCGGAATTATTCACCAATGATTTAGAGTAAGGCACCATTCTCTAAAAGCTTACTACAAAAGCCTCACCTGTAGAGGTACTAACTGCATATAAGTTGCAAATTGTGTCACAAAGTTCTTGTGGAGCTTCACCATGCCTAACCAAGAACTCTATCGGCTTTGATGACTCACTGTTCTCGTCTGGATTTGGAACAACATCGAGCTCTTCTTGTGTCACTTCCAGTTCTGCATCTCGTTCTACTTGAAGCAATTCTGACATAAGGCTGGTGAACTCATCAATCCTTGTTTGTAAAGCCTTGGCCTTCTCCAAGTCCATCCCGAAAACACCTTGAACAGACTTTGGATGTGTTGCTTTCCGAGCAACAGCCCGATGCTGAGCTGCACAAACAACAAATCAGCCGACACATCACCTTCAGCAAAACTACGAATCGTTGAACCCTACCAACTTAAATATGCTATGACCTAAAAAGCACATGCACGCATACCAGTCATGAACAGCATGGACTTGAAATAAATAAAAATCTAACCCGAATTTGCTATCTCCTTGAGCAGCTTCCAAGATTCTGTCTCCTTCCAATTTCCAATCAATTGCTTGCGCTCCAAGTCTTGAAGAACATCTCGCAACTCCCTCTGGAAATGATCGAACAGACTAGGGTAATGGGTCGCAGCCTTCAAACAAGCCGATTCTAGCCCTAACGGCATCGGAATTGCATTGAGATATGGCTGAGCCTGTATCACAAACGTTAAACCCGAACACGCTCTCTGCCTCAACTCCAAGAACTCCCCCTGCATCTCTGCGGAGGCGAAATCCGAGGCCATGGCCTTCATCGCCTGGCTTATCCACTTCACCACATTCCGACCAAGATCTCTCCGCCCCAAGGGATCGCCATTCTGACTCAAGGGACGAAGATTCAATTCCCTACCTCTCTTCTGCTGCTCCTGCACCTTTCCTTCTTGTTGTTTCTTTTCCTCAACAATTGTTTTACCACTTGTACCGGTAACACTAGCAGTGTCGATACCGTTTCTCTTCTCAATTTTTCGAGATTTAGGGTTTTGAAAAACGCTATTTTTCCTTCGAGGCTTCTTCTTCGTGGTACTACTCGAACTACCGCTACTACTGAGCTTGTTTCCGCCATTAACGCCGCTGCAGACAAACCTCCGCGACCTGAAAACACGAATTTCACCGTCTTTGTAGTGCGGCACGAGACATACCGACTTGAGTGGCCGCCGTGAGACCGTGAACGCCGCCGTCGCCGTTGTGGTCGACGGAATCCTAATGCTTCTGCAAAGAAAACATGACGCTACTACATCCATCGGATTCGAAAACCGGGAAAACACACGATTTCTATCTCAGCTTTCCGGGAAAACGCTTGAAAATCCTCGGAAAATCGGAGCTACAAAGCAGAGATCATTGACATTCGCCGGGAATCGAAGGGGAAAATGCAGGATTCAGAATTTGGGAGAGGCATTTATAGGGTTACGAGATATTTCGCGTAAGCGAGAGAATACTTCGAGAACTTTAAATGTGAGCCGCGGACTGAATTTGAGGCCTTCACATTTGTTTTTATTTTATTTAATTATTTTTTAATGTGTTTGAGAGAGGTAGAGAGACACGTTATCACTATCAGGGGTGCGAGATCGCAGGGGGGGCTGTGATTGGCTGGGATTGATTCTTCGTGTGCAGCCAACGTATTTAATTACTGTTCTATCCTTCTTTTCTTGGTTCCTCAACTTTGGCCTCCTTATTTTTAATTTCTTTCATTTGGTTCTCGTACTTTTATTTTCTAAACTTAAGTCCACTAATCTAATTGCAACATCATTAGCTTTTTGTTGTCTCTTTTACCAATGACATTTTTAATTATCTTTACATTGATAATGTGTTTTTCTTTTATTTGATTCTTATAAATCAGTTTTATCGTGACTATGATTACACAACTTAACATCAAAATACGATGTCATTTTATATTATTGATCATACTAAAACTCATGAATTATAATTGAAAATTATTGAAAGTATTATGTAGATATTGAAATTGGTTTATATTATAATTAATTACAGAAATACATTTTTATCATAAATTATAATATTTTAAATTACAAGATACAGTGAATCATATAATAAAATATCAAACTAAAAGATTCATTGAATAACATAATAAATATCTAGTAAAAATCTAAACAAAAAGTAGAAACATAAACAATTTAACAAAATGTTTAAATTTTTAACACGTAATATAAATTATAAAAGATAAATTTGATAATTATAATCTAAGGGATTCGTGATAAGTATAATAATCTCAACACCCAAAACCTTTTTTTTAAGTAAAATCATACAATCACACTTCAAAAATCCAAAGATTCTTTTTAATCATTCACGTTAATTTTTTTGGATAACGGGGTATTTTGGACCGAAACTCAAACTAATCTCAGAGTTGAAAACAAAAGATTGAAATTACACTTTTCTCTCCAATCTGAAATTCAAACTCGGAGTAAGACATACGGTCTACGGCAACTTTGGTGCTTCTTCTGAAAATATCTCATACTAATGGGGTACTAATTGAGAAGAAACAAAACTCTTAAGGTTGAAAGAAATATTCCTAAAACCTTTGGTTCGATTCTCGTGTTTGTGGAAGAGAATGGGAATGGGAAAGGCCACGAGGCATCTAACGAACAAAGGCCCTGCTTGTTCGTTTTACCACCACTAGATTTTCTTAAGATTGGTTTCTTTTAATTTTTTTTTTTGTTCGTTAATTTAATTTACGAAAGTATCTTCGTGTTGTCGCCCAAAGCCACTCAACTAAAATCTTCGAGACTATTTATGTATTTGACTTTTTGTTTTGTTGAATGTTAACTAATAAAATATATACCAAATAAAAAAATTCAGAAGAAGAACCGACTTTCGCTTGATCTAAGAGTCATTTCTCGTTAGATTAGATTTTTCGGTTAATAAATACTACCTCCATTTCATAATAGTTGACTAGATAGTTATTTTTGTTTATAAATAAATATTGTTCTTTTATTAAGTAATTTTATAAAATAATTTTCAATTTTATCTTTCATTAAAATTACTTTAATTCTACTAAATTTTAACAATAATATATTTTTTACCATTAAATTTGTATTAAATAAGAGTATACATGATTTTTTTTATTTTTTTAAAAAGTGGGAAAAATTCTAAAATGATAGTTCAAAAACGGGGGAGTAATAAAATAGATTAAACCAATAATATTTAACATTTTAATGAGATGGATCTCATACAATATTTCTAACGAGTTTCTAAGCAAAATATCATGTGGTAAATTAGATGAGGTTGTATTGAGAAATAGAGTCAGATAATATCGAAATATTTTCGTTATTTAGGTAATTTAAAATGGTTTTCTTTTGTAAAATTTAACTAAGAGAATAAAAGCTTCAGTTTTGAATGGAAGAGGTTTTTTGAGTTTTTTAAAATCCAAAAAAAAAAAAATTAACAATTAAATTTTATAAATTTGATTTTTCTAAAAATTTAGAAAACCATTTTAGTGAAATAATTGAAAATTCTATTTTTTAATTTATAAATACTACAAAATATAAAACTAAAAACAAAAATTTAAAACAAAAAACTCAAAATAAAAAATATCACCACAATTTAATATCGGAGATTCAATTAATGTTGGGTTGGGATCCATTTTGGCAGTTCTGATGCCCATCAGATTGGGATACAAATTGCCCAATCGTTCCACAAATAACCCGAAACTATCCGAAAAATTACAAAAATATCTTTCAAATTGATCCTTATATGTCTTCGCCTTCACCTTGCAAATACATGAATATCTCGAACATCAAAAGATATCCGATATTTAAATATACAAAAATACATAGGATTTTAAACACTAAAATATAAATCCTTCATTAACAAAAATATATATAAATCCTTCAAATTTAGAATCTGTCCGTCCAATACAAGTGGATAGATGTGCCGACCGGCCGAACGCATACTTTGAACGTAAAAAAAAAAAAATCAAACTGAATGTTGAATTTTATTTTCGGAAAACAATATTTTTTTTTAAATTTACTGGATGCATTCACCTAATTTCTTCTCATAGATGTTTTTCTTGATCCTAATAAAAAAATATTTTTCTTTGCCATAATTTCGTTTGTTCTTAAGAAGATTCAGATTCTTGATCAGATTGATCTGTTAGATTTGTGGTATGTTAATGTGAATATTTTATTTTGTGGTGTAATCCAAAGATGAGATTTTAAACCACGGAAAAATAAAACTAAACGACGAGTTTTAATTTTTGTTTTTGGTTTTCAAGCCTTCAAATTTTTAAATAATTTTATAGCATAAAAAAGTATGAAAAGGGTTTTGATATTGCTATATTACTAGTAATTAATTTTTTTTTTTCAAAAAATTATGCTATTTTTTGTTAATGCAAAATAATAATCCTTTTTATTGTGGAAAGTTTGGTGTTAAATCAATTCAATAAATTTTATTTATTTTTATTATTATGGATAATTCATGTAAAAAAAAATCAGAGCAATTACGGTGGATAAAATAAGACCTAAAAAGGCAGTCCTATCAGAGCTACAACTCCTACCTTCTTTCTCAGTCAGAGACGATGAAAGAAAGAAACCTTCATCCAATCTCTCTCGTCTTATGCGCCTCCACTTCTCCACGCGCCTGATCAGCAGCTCACTCCGATCTCCACGCGCCGCCGCCGTCCCCTTCCGATCTCTCTGCGCTGACGCTGCCTCTCCGGTCGTCCGATCGGCGGTGATTCCAATGACGGCGGCCGCCTCCTCCTCCTCGACGGCGGCGATGCCTCCTATTACCGCCGTGATCTGCTCGGAGGAAGGGCTCGCGGCGAAGCTGTGGATCAAGTTCCGGAGAGAGTGCCTCTTCTCCATGTACAGTCCCTTCGCCGTCTGTATGGCAGCCGGGAATCTCAAGATCGAGACGTTCCGCCACTATATTGCTCAAGATGCTCATTTCCTCAAGGCTTTAGCTCAAGCGTGAGTTTTCTTTTGCCATCTTTCATTGTTTTTGCCGATCAGTCTTTGGAGTTGTTTGTTTCCTGTGGTATGTAGAGGCGACTAGTGGACTAGGATTATTGATAATTTGATAGTATTCGGTGGTTCTAATTCCGTTGAGAAAATAGAAGAAAGTTCTCTTTGGAATTATCCGTTGATGTTGATCAAAGAAGAACGATGTATGAGAGGTGTTAGGGGAAATAGGTGAACTGCGGTTCTTCATTGTCCAATCTAACTTGTGGAAACTTGGATATCAGTACAATAATGTTGAGTTTCTTGACACTTTTTGGGGTTGATGTGCTCAGATGAAGAATGTATATATCGGAAATGGAAGTGAGCAAGGGTTGGTTTTTTTAGGTTCTGTGTTTTCTTGAGTGGATATTTAGTGGAGTAGAGGTGTCTATTGTCTGATAGGTCAGAATGATGTCCTGAAGAAATAGTATCGCAAGCAACAACGCAATCGAGTTTCCATCTGGAGATTTTGGCCTTTCGCTTGGACGGTAACTAATTGTAGGTGCTCAAGAATTCTGTCGTGTAAGAAAGGAATTGGGACATTGACTAGCAATTTTTGTGATAATTGGACTAACTTATTGCTGCCAATGATATGGGATGAAGGTTGGGATTTGTTGAGAATATTGCTGCAGAATGATGTTGATCTTATGGAAACCCGGGCACCTTCATTTGTTGTGGTGAGCTTAGATATGTGGTAGAAAAAATCAAGGTTCTAGGTATGGCATCAAGAGAGATCAGTTGCAATTGAGAAGTTCTTTTTATAGTTTCTTTGTATTCTTGTTTTGAGCTGAGGTTACATTCTTGTTTCGAGAGATTTATAATAAAACAAAGCATATGGAGAACAGTTATTGAGATCCAAAAACATATTGTGCTCAGCATCGTGTTTCTGGGTTTTGAATATTTTTAACGTCCTAATTCACTTTGAACACCTTCTGGATTTCTCAAGGCATTAATTTCTTGCATTTAGGGTAATTGAAGGTGTTTGCTCACATTATTTGCCCCACAAACAAGATTTGAATTGTGACCATCCGGTTACTCAACCTCGATGTTCCTGCCAGTATTTTGAGTTTGTGGCCATTATGTACCGTATGAAATTTGGTGGAACAATCTGACATAGGTTTCCTTTTGATTTACATGATCTCCTGAATCAGACTTTTTTTGGTTAGTTTTAAAATTTTATTTGCAAGAAAAAAGGGGTGAATTGCAGAACTCTTATATGTTCCCTCCATTGTCTGTTTGTTTCAGCAGTTAACTTCATGATTGTATTTTGTTACTGGTGCATGTGAGAAACTGGTTTAAAATGCTTATGCAAAATTGTTGAAACTGATGATGATTGATGATGTGAGGGCTCAGATATCCCTGGTATTATGGGAAGCTGAAAAATGCATTTGGTCTTCATAATTCCTGCTTCCCTCTTTGTAATTTTTTTATTTTTATTTTGAATGTTAGGTATGAATTGGCGGAGGAGTGTGCTGATGATGATGATGACAAGTTGGCAATCTCTGATTTGAGGAAAAATGTTATGGAGGAACTGAAAATGCATAATTCATTTGTACAGGTAAGATGAGTTCTTCAAGTCATCTAATTTTCCTCTCGCTTTACCTGTTGATGTATTCCATAGTAAAGGGGAAACAGAAAGGATATTTACACATGTACCCCATAGACCGAAAGTCTAGGGCCAGATATTAAAAGGCGGAAGTTGCCCTAAGCATTTGTTTCTTGGTCACCTGGTTCAGTGCTCATTCGATGTTTTACTGTTTCTATTCATTAATGTGCCGGTTTAATTTCTTGAAAGGTTGATCGGATTATGTGCTTCAAGTGCTTTTAATGGATGTCTGATATTGTTATTCTAGAACTCAGGGAGAAGAGTGAGAGACTATTACTTCTGTTTTGTCTAAGCTACTGGATTTTCTTGGTTTTCCACGAATCTGGAAAAAGAACATTTCATATAGAAGTAATACGTGCTAGCTTATATTTCTGAACTTCATAAAGTGGAAAACTAAGTTTGGTGGAACTATACCTGGTCTGCAGAAAGGCACCGTTACGTGTACCCTCACTAATCTTCAGATCAAGTGTGATAATCTCAAATAAAATTTACATTTGAGCCATGCAGGAGTGGGGCTTAGACATTGACGAAGAGGTTTCTGTTAACTCTGCTATGTTGAGATACACTGAATTCTTATTAGCAACGGCCTCAGGAAAAGTAGAAGGAATAAAAGCTCCTGGCATGCTTGATACTCCGTTTGAGAAGACTAAAGTTGCCACCTACACACTTGGTGCTGTGACACCATGCATGAAGTTATACGCCTTTCTTGGTAAGGAGCTGGAAGCACTTCTTGATCTGAGAGAAGGGAACCGCCCTTGCAAGAAATGGATTGAAAATTATTCTTGTGAAGGTTTCCAGGTATGCAAAAATTTTGCTGTTCCACATCTCCCCTTTGAATTTTAAAAGTCTGTTCAAGAGTTTTCCCGAGAAAAGATGTCATATATATAATGAATGGTTTGTAATCATCAACTGCTAAATTATTGTATTAGGCCTCAGCAAAGCAAACAGAAGACTTGCTCGAGAAACTAAGTGTATGTATGACTGGGGAAGAACTAGATATCATTGAGAAGTTGTATCAACAGGCTATGAAACTTATAACAGAGTTCTTCCATGCCCAGCCGCTTGGTCAACCTACCATAGTTCCTCTGATCAAAGAGCACAACCCTGAAGAAGATCATCTAATGATATTTTCTGATTTTGATCTGACTTGCACTGTTGTTGATTCTTCTGCCATTTTGGCAGAAATTGCAATTGTAACTGCTCCAAAATCTGATCAGAGTCAATCTGAGCAACAAATTCATCGGATGTTGTCAGCCGACCTTAAGAACACATGGACTCTTCTTTCTAAACAATATACAGAAGAGTATGAAGAGTGTATCGAGAATGTTCTAAAGAAGGGAAAAGGTCAGACTCTTTTTATCTTTAGCCATTCGAGTTCTATACTAATCTGAGAAATATTATGTGACTTAATATGGGTCATTTTGCACGGCGATTCTCTGCAGTGGAGACCTTTGACTATGCGGGTTTATGTAAAGCACTAGAGCAGCTCTCGGATTTTGAGAAAACGGCAAATCTCCGGGTGATTGATTCTGGTGTACTAAAAGGTCTGAATCTTGAAGACATCAAAAGAGCTGGGGAACGGTTAATTCTTCAAGACGGCTGCATCAATTTCTTTCAGAAAATTGTAAACAAAGACAACCTGAGTGCAAATGTCCACGTGCTTTCTTATTGTTGGTGTGGTGATCTCATCAGAGCAGCCTTTTTTGCGGGTACGTGATTCCTATTTCATAATCCTCAAAGTTTGGAGTTTACTTAGACAGTAGAACTTTGAAATTTTGCATAGTAATCTTGGTAAGAAAATTCTTTGTTGAATCTCTTCCCTAATCTTTCTTCCGAAACTGTATTCCTGTTTTGTTTGTCAGTTTTTGAAGCTCTAGTGTCCGTTGTTTTTTGTTGAATTCTTGCCACTATATAATATCACCAAACGTCTACTCAAGGATTTCTTTGTTCCTACACCTTAGCAAAGACAAATACAAAATGTAGTTTTTGTCATAAAACCGGTCAAATACTTTATGCGTTATTTCTTCTTGATGAAAGTTCCTATCAGTTGTAATCTAGTTGTATTGGTTGATACCATCGTTGAATGTCATTTTGGCTGATTCTTTCTCTTGCGAACGATCCTCTTTCAAGATAGCCAGCCTCCGCTTAAATGTGTTACTGTTGTGGTTACTTATATTGGATTTCACATGCTTGAAACAGGGGGATTAGACGCTGTGAAAGTACATGCAAATGAATTCACATTCGAGGAGACTATATCAACTGGCAAAATCGTAAGAAAAGTGGAATCCCCCATCGACAAGGCTCAAGAGTTCAAAACTATTTTGCAAAACCGTAGTGGTGATAAGAAAAGCCTGACTGTTTATATTGGAGATTCAGTGGGAGACTTGCTCTGTCTCCTAGAAGCAGACATAGGGATAGTGGTCGGCTCTAGCTCCAGCCTCAGGAGAGTGGGAAACCATTTTGGCATCTCCTTTGTCCCGCTGTTCTCTGGTATTGTTCAGAAACAGAAACAGCATACTGAAGGAGATTCTTCTTCAACATGGAAGGGACTCTCGGGCACGCTTTATACGGCATCCAGTTGGGCTGAGGTTCATGCCTTCATTCTTGGTTGGTAGAAAACTCGGGTTTTTTTTTTCATTTCCGCGAGATCGGTTAAGAGCATTATTGAGGAGTGTTAACCGTATATACGGGATTCAAAGATTAAAAAAAAAAAAACTTCCCCAGTGGCTGATTTTATTAAAGAGCCACGCATATTGGGTCTTTGGCTTTCTTCCTTTTATCCAACAGGGACAAGAGTGATCGGTGTACAACGGTGCAGACAGGTAAGAATGCTCGAACCTATTTTGTTAGAAATTTTGGGTGCAAATAGGGTTTCGAGATTGCGATTTTTATTTTTTGATGATTTCTGGTGAATTTGTCTCTTCTTTTATGTTGTTGTTGTTGTTGTGTTGTATGTAGGAATCAAGAAATGTCAAGAGCAAATTAACAAGCTGTTCTTCTTGCATACGGTTTCTCCCCTCCCACAAGATACGTAAGTCTGCATTATTGGTGGCTCTCATACTCTTTTGACAGATTCTTTACATATGATTTTCTTCTGTGGAAGAATGATTCAGAGGGTAGTATAATAGATGATGATGGTGGTGGTGGTGGTGGTGGGATATGGATGTTGGTGACTCTTGGCTCAAATTGGAAGTGTATGTTTTTCTTTCGCTACATTTTGCCAACTTGATTTCCTATTGTTTTATATTTATTATAAAAATAAGATATCATGAAGTTTTCTATCTATATACAGCATGTAGTCATTCTAAAATCTAGATACGGAAATGGTTGGTACATGGAGAAAAACGTTCATAATGTTTTTGCGTTAATATCCTCACCCAACACTGCTTGATATTTAGATTATTCAGATCTAGAATAAAATAATCTAAGTGCGATGACGGCATTTGTTACAAAAAATATATATTTTTTTTATAATACATTGACCATTTACGAACAGAACCAGAACCGAAAGTGTGTGGTCTGTTAAACAGAGCTTCATTTTTCCTTCAAGACAAAAATAAAAAAATTTCCGACCTGCCGGATTCGAACCAGCGACCTAAGGATTTATCTGCGTGTACGACTACAGTCCTCCGCTCTACCAACTGAGCTAAGGTCGGACATTAATTGTGATTAAACTTACCAAATAAAGAGAAATAAAATCAGGATTTGTTGAACTTAATTCTGGTATTTTTTTTTAAAGTTTTGCTTTGTATCAAACTAGTGTTGGTCATGATTTCGAGTCAACAATCTAATAAATTTTACTAAACTAAAATTAACTTATGATTCAATTTTTCTAAATTTTTATAAAGATATATATAAAGAATAATCTAAATATTTTCAATAGAAAATTAGCTGATATATGTAATAAAATTAGAAGTGAAAATATGTATTATCTGAATAGTTCAAACCAGATTGTTAGAAAATTCTCTCATATCCTCTTTTGTTTAACCAGAGATATCCTTCATTCCCGCATTTTTCGTATTTTTTGGGATTCAATAAAAAAATATTCCCGTTCGAACTTCGATATCTCTATCTATACACATGAGAACAACCAAAAGAATAGGAAAGATCCAGATGACGTGGACGGCAGGATTCGAACCTGCGCGGGCAGAGCCCACATGATTTCTAGTCATGCCCGATAACCACTCCGGCACGTCCACTTTTTTCTTATTTTGCTTGCAAATCACATATTAGCTCACGTGAGCTTCAAGATTTTACGAAGACTCTAACTCGTGAAGAGGGTTTGATCGTTGGAACTCCACTTCTTTACACGAGAATCTGTTCTGTTCTGCATTTTCCAAGTTGTATCTTTCATATCCTTCTTCGCTTTTCATCTGTAAAAGAATTCGGCTTGAACTCTTCTTCTTCGAGTTCTTTGAACGTTGACAGATTAGACGTTCGGATCACGACAATTCAAACAGTCTTTGAGATGGCGATTATGAACAATTTAATCCACATTTTTACAATACCTTCACAGAAAAATTAGGCATCATTACTTACAAACTCGTTGCGTAGATCATCAATCAGTATTTGCATTCAAAACATAGAAGTATTTTCTTCCATATTTTATTACTTTGAATCTAATAATATGATTTTTAAAAAATTACATTCATCCGATATATTATTCAAATCGATTTTACCATATACATGAAACCTTAAAATTATAATACGTGAATTGAAATAGAATTTGAAAAAAAAAAAAAGAATTTGTCCATTTGTGCATCATTGATTCTTGAAATATGTTCCTTTTGACCATCTGCGAGGAGAATCTCCGCGTCTTTGTAATTTTCTTCACACGCTCCTCCAAACGGTCGCATTCCTCAATCTCCTCCATGTAATTTATATATATATTTTAATTTTTTTGCTGTATATATATTTTAATTAATACTTTGTACTATTTTTTTATTATAAGTTATTATATAAATAAGATAAGTTTTGGGAAGTGATTTGGAAAAATGGTATTGGACGTATTAAAACCTTTTATCTGGTGTTTTGTCTCTCTTATACCTCATGAGTAATGAATTTTTATTTCAAAATTTCAACTATTTTTTTTTGTTTCAAATTAAAAGTTCGAAGATGACACATTGTCACACACGATTGGGGGTGCTAGCCATAAAAATATTTTTAAGACGATATCTTTAATATGGAATAAGAGGGACCAATAGAGAGATGCGTAAACAAATAAACAACTATTTATGATTCCCGTAACTAATAATGAGGATGATATTATATATATAATCAGGGCTTGGAGTTTCGGTTCGGTTTTTCGGAAGCAAACCGAACCGAACAAAAAAAACGGTATTTTTTTCGATCTGAATCGTTCTAAATTCTCGAACGGTATTATTTTTAGAGACCGAATTTTTCGAAACCGAAGCGAACCGAACTTTAAAAAATTCTGAAAAACCGAAAATTTTTAAAGAAAATCTATCTTTTTTTAAATAAAAACCGGAACCAAACCGAATCGGTACTGAAACCGAATCGAACCGAACATAATATAAAAACCGATTGGTACCTATTTTTGTAAAACCGAAAAAACCGAACAGATGCATTTCCATTCCAAACTCGAACTGTTTTCCGAAACTGTCATATGTAACATATGCAAGATCCAAACTTATATTAAAAAATTAAATTAAATTATCTAAATAAAATATAAAGATTATATATATATATATATAACTATAATTTTACATAATTTAATAAAATTATAATCATTGATAATTTGAGATTTAAATGATTTTGTATATTTTTTTCATTAGTAATATAACATAACGCCTGTATTATTTATAATTTTAGATTTCTTCAGAAATATTATATAAAAATCCGCAATGGTGTACTAACCGATTGAATAGATGAAAGTTTTGTGTAGCATCGGAGTTCGTGACACATACATGTACACATACACATAATACGCATGCGCACACACATACACGCATGCGGCATATACATACATTGACACACGAACACACATACACATATATAACCACGTTGTCCAGCCGTGTGTAAGAACGCCGCTTCTAGAATTTCTGACAAAGGCTGAGATATCACATCACATTGGTCGGTTCCTCAAATCATTGAAATATAGCCGTTATATTTTCTATTAAATTATTCCTGTATTAATTATTCTCACTTCCACTAAATCAACCCCACAATTTTTTTTTTGAGAAAACAGTTTCCTCTTTTCGTTTTCTTCATAACAAATCTCTCTCTCTCTCTCGATTCATCCATCTTTCCCATTTTCTTTACTAGATTTTCCCAGATATCATTTGGATTCAAATCTGATATATATTTTTTTGGCTCTTGATAAAGTTTGTTCTTTGTAATTGGCGGTTTCAAATTCGTGATTTTCCATTAGATTTGTTGCATCCTGTTTCTTCACGTTTGCAATAATACAAAACAGAGCAGTTTCTACATTCTCTTCCTTTTCCTTTCGATTCGATCTCTTTTATCGGATTCCGAAGGTTTTCCAGGAAAAGAATCGCTTCCGTGTCGCCGATCTTTCGTGACCCATCGCCAAAAGCTATCCTTTTTACTCTCTCTCTCTCTCTCTCCGCTCAACAACTTTCCCAGAAAATCTCTCTTTTCCGAGGAAAAAAAAAACAAATCCATGACGGAAAAATCCAAACTTTTGTCCCTAATTGCATATCTAGCCCTCATTCCGCTTCTGGGTCTCCATTTTGATCCCGTCAATGGGCTCGGCGTCAACTGGGGAACCATGGCGACTCACAAACTGCCGCCGAAGACGGTGGTTCAGATGCTCAAGGACAATAACATCAACAAAGTCAAGCTATTCGACGCGGAAGAATCCACCATGAAAGCTCTCGCTGGTTCGGGCATGGAAGTGATGGTGGCGATTCCCAATGATCAGCTTCGAGTAATGGGAAGTTACGATCGAGCCAAGGAATGGGTACAGAGGAATGTCTCTCGTTATAACTTCAATGGCGGCGTTAATATCACGTAAGTCCTCCGTCTGTTTTGTTGTGACTTTGTCTGGTTATGATCTGATTGCGTATAGAACTTCTGTTTGAATGTGTTCCAGATAGGGAAAGTGGATCTGAATCTGTTTGAAGGTGTACAAAATTTTGGTGAATGCAAATTAACATTTTCATCAAACTTAGAACCCTAATTACAGTTCTGATTATGTCTCTTCTTAAACTGGTCGTTTCTGTGAATTTCTACTTGAACTGGTTCTTGCAAGTATGAGACGACATTATATGATTCTGACAATGCATCTGATCTGTCTATTGCATTATACATTTGATGTTTATGTAACTTCAGATGCTAAATACTAGTGGATTTGGATGTGTTTCAAACAGGTTCGTAGCTGTCGGAAACGAGCCTTTCCTGAAATCCTACAACGGATCATTCATAAATCTCACGTTCCCTGCCCTCCAGAACATCCAAAACGCTCTAAACGAAGCCGGCTTAGGAAACGTCAAGGCAACGGTCCCGTTGAACGCCGACGTATATGATTCGCCGGCAAGCAATCCCGTGCCATCTACCGGGAGGTTCCGACCCGATATCCTCGGCCAGATGACCCAGATTGTCGACTTTCTCGGCAAGAACAATGCCCCTTTCACCATCAACATCTACCCTTTTCTCAGTCTTTACGGAAACGATGACTTCCCTTTCAACTACGCTTTCTTCGACGGCGCTACTCCCATCATTGACAACGGGATCGAGTACAATAACGTCTTCGATGCTAACTTCGACACCTTGGTCTCGGCTTTGAAAGCTGCCGGTCACGGAGATATGCCCATCATAGTTGGAGAAGTTGGTTGGCCAACCGAGGGTGACAAGAACGCGAATAATGGTAACTATTCTATGTTACATATCATCACAAATCCTGTATTTTTTTTCTCTCCCCTGTAACCAATCTGATGTAAATATGTGAATCTTTTGTTGCAGGCAATGCTTTTAGATTCTACAATGGACTTTTACCGAGACTTGCAGCCAACAGAGGCACACCATTGAGGCAAGGTTACATCGAAGTATACTTGTTCGGGTTACTCGACGAAGATGCCAAGAGCATTGCCCCGGGAAACTTCGAACGACACTGGGGAATCTTCAGATTCGATGGGCAACCAAAGTTTCCTTTAGATTTATCGGGTCAAGGCCAGAACAAGCTACTGATTGGAGCGCAGAACGTGACCTATCTCCCGAGCAAGTGGTGCCAGTTCAACCCGCAAGCCAAAGACATCAGCAAACTGGCAGACAACATAGACTTTGCCTGCACTTATTCCGATTGCACGGCTCTTGAGTATGGATCGTCGTGTAACGGTCTTGACGTGAATGGAAACGCTTCATACGCATTTAACATGTATTTCCAAGTGAAGAACCAGGACGAGGACGCTTGTTTCTTCCAAGGGTTGGCCGCCATTACCACGGTGAACATTTCTCAGGGCCAGTGCAATTTCCCCATTCAGATTGTTGCTTCTTCTTCTGCTTCATCATCTTCTTCTTCTCTGGTTCTGTTGATGGCCGGGATATGGTTTCTCTGGTTACAGGTAATAATGTTTTTCTCTTAGATTCAGTGCTCGGAACTCGGGGAGAATTTTGGTTGATTCATTCATGATTTCATGAAATTCTTTTGTCAATCGACTGAATCATATATAGTAGTGATTCATTCTTTTAGTATGGAAAATCATTGAAACTAAGAACTAAGATTCGTTGAACATCTTTCAAGTTCGGATTGTTGCTTAGTTCCCGATTCAAGCTATTGTGTTATATATTTGGTGCTCTGCATTGTTCGGCATTTCCTGAAAACACTTTCTTTCCGAAGAGCTTCCACCAAGCCTCAAGCCTAGCCTGAATCTTGTGGATCATCAGTTAAGAGTTTGGAGTTTGTCAATGGTTGATACAAGGCTCTGAGTTTCAGGTTTAATACAAAGATTTTAACGTGTTTATATACATCTGACTGCATACTAGTCCATGATAAATGTGGACAGTTCGAAAGTTAGACTATAATGGCGGTTCTACAGAGCTTTAGATTTAGCGAAATCAGAGCCAAGCTTGCGTATTTACGAGTCTTCTGAACCGTCCATCCATCCATCCATCCCAGCGCTCAGGAAAGAAGTGCTGCTAAGGTTCGGATGAGGGCTTTGCTAAATACTGACGCCATTCTTCCGGCATCCCCTTTTTCGATCTCAGCATCCCTATCGCTGCATTCGTTAACGGTATCGCAAGAATATCGTAGTCTTTTGGTGCCTGAAACGATCAAAACAGGCCTCATATTACATGAAACCGATCTACAGGTCGACTTCTAGCTAACTGGATGGAACAGTGAAGTACCTTTGGGACTTTGATTATCTTCATGTTTGCCTCGTCTAGCGTCATTTGACCTTTCCTCGAGTTGCATCTTGAGCAAGCAGCTACCTGTATGACAAGAACAGCCCGAGAAATGTACAGATCGAATAGCGATTGAAGTAGAGTACTGCATCTGAAAAAACTTTGTTCCACGATTGGATATTTTAAGAGAAGAACATTCTATCAAAAAAATTCCTGCACTTGAGAAATCTGGGGGGATCTCTGAACATGGTTCAAGGTATGTTCTTCCTCCAAAGTTTGATCAAATTTTGTGACGGATGCCAACCTTCTCTTAAAGGCGGCTATACAACTCAGCGGTTAAGCATCAGGCCTGGCCGACCGCTCCCCTTGGCTCGTTATTTGCTAATCTAGAACTATACTCAGTCCAGTTTTCGTTCTTTGTATAGAATGGACGCGTTTCAGCAAGCTAAGAATATCGGTATAGAGCTATCTTACCAGATTTTCCCACTTCCATTCTCCACCTCGAGAAATCGGGAGAACGTGATCAATGGTCAAGTTTTCACGAGTAGAACAATACCTGTAAATAAAAATAATGCCAGTCAGTTCAGTTCCTTATGAGAAAATAACAGTTCACAGTGCTTGGACACAGAACAATACTCACTGACAAGTGTAATCATCTCGTAGTAATATATTTTTACGACTAAGGGAGTTTTTAACTCTTCTCCTTTTCACAACCTGAAGCAGATGTGGAACCTGGACCCATACAAGAAGAAACTTATGAAAATGTGCTTGAAATTGCCAAAAAAAAATAGAAAACAAGAGAAAATACAGAGTACTTTCATAGTTTGCGTACCCTTAATACAGCCGGAATATAGTATGAACCGCTGGGAGAATTTACTGCTTGATCATAATACTCTAGAACATCGGCCTAACGAAGGAAATACCGCAAAGTTTTAAACTTTAGACAACCAGATTTTCCAAAGATTGTAGTATTACAACACGATTATCATTAGACGCTCATGTCTTTCCAAAGCATAAAGTGTTAAATTCTCCCAAATGGGCGAAAGTTATTCAAACTAGTCACGGTCTATATCGGTTGGCCTGACCTTCTCCATGAACTCCAGACAGATAGCACGTTTCCAGCATACAACATTGACAGGCCTGAGGTAATAAACAAGATAATTGGATTACCAGGGACACTGACAATTTCTTCAAGCAGCAAAAACAACATATATTCGACAATATAAACCGCTACAAAAGATCAAACATCACACCGATAACCAGCAATGAAAGAGGATGGAAGCAGAAGTACAGAAACGTCAGTTTCTCGTCCAATCTAGCGTACAAATATCAGTAAGGAAGGCTAAATCACCAGCTTAGATATGCCTCTAATCAATACAATTGCTCGAAACCCACAGCAGTTTCAGAACTCAACCATACTTTTCATCAAAAGCTCTCTCAAGCATCAACAATTTGGACACACTACTACACAAGATACAGGTATTCCTGGGTTTCAGAAAAGTCTCCCTAAGGGACCTCATCATTCCACGGTTTCCCCATCAGATTAAGAACATGATAAGCTCTCATTCAGTAGTTGAGTTGTCACATAAAGACCATGCATCCAAGAAACTGAATCCATGTCGGGCATTGATAAAGACTTGAACTTTTCATACCAAAAAAAAAAAAAGACTTGAACTTTAAAAATTTCGTAACTGGGGTCTAAATCCTGAGTTATTTACAGAAATGGAAGGAAATATCAAACTCTGAAAAACATGATACAATGATCCCTGTGAAACAGTACCTGTAAGATATATCGAGAACCAAGCCTCTAAAGCAAGCTAGTTCATCTGTCTCAAACCCATCATCATCTCCATCAAAAAGAACATCATCACCATCATCGTCTACTTCGTTTGAACCAAGATTCTTCTCAACCTTATCCAAATCCCTAGATTTCTTCCTCGAGGAAGAAGAAGAGTAAACCCTCGTTCTGAACTCGCTAAACCTCAATCTGCTCCTCCGGAGACGAACCGACAGGGACCCACCGGCGCCGTAGGAAGCAGCGTGAAGACTCAGGCGAAATGGGTCTTTCGAATCGAACCCAAAAGACATACCTTCGCTGCTAGAGAGAAGCTTCAATCTCGCCGAGAAATGCGCCATGCCTACGTTCGATCACAGCGAGAGAGAATTCTGAATTGAGTGATTTTCTCAAACCGATCGCTCTATTGCGCTCTTGATCGTGCTCTGAAAGTGAAAATGAAGTGGGAGACGTTTGTTTCCCGAGAAAATTGGAGAGAATTTTTTGGCGAGAAAATAATATGAGCTCAAAAAGCCGTTATCCACAAATTAGTAGCTGCATTTTCAATTTGTAATCGAAATATCTCTCTGGAGAATAAATGACGAATATACCCTTCAATGCGAAGGGTATTTCCTCCAAACAGTCACAAATCATAATGCCACGTCATTACATTTTCATATTGCTTAGATTTATTGAATTATTAACCTCGGACCAAATTAGCGTTGGACTTATTTTAAACCGGTTCGGTTATAGACTAAAGAATGAGCGATTATGGTCCGCTTCGGTTATCTCGGTTTTTATACAATTTTGGTTTACCATGGTTAAAAAAAGCTTAAAATTGAAGCGATCCCAAGTTAAATTTGGTTACAGTTCAGTTTTGTTCATGATGTTACAATTTATTTATTTATTTTTTAAAAAAAATCATCATTGAATTCCAGAACAGAATCCTTGAGATGTTTATAAAATTGTTATTTTACATTTAATCAGATACCCGGAGAGTATAGCCGGAGAAGTCAGGAGATGTCCGAGAGCGACGATATAAAACCCGAACCCGAACCGAAGAATCGGGTATCTCATGTTGAACTCGATGTCGTCGACGGATACCCGTTTCCCGGATCTGAGATTCAGGTAACTTTTTCTGCGACCCCTGGTACAAATGGCGTGTTCAAAAGGTTCACTTTGTCTTAGACATTACAATACAAAAGTCTTATAGTTCTTACAGAACAGGACAGAAAGACCATTTTGTCTGGAAACCAATTCGGAAAGTTGCAAAACCTGAGAGAGCCAGAAAAACGTGACCGTTCAAAAGGTCTAAACAAAATGGGAGTGTTCCCCCCAAATGAAGATTCAGTTTCAGCTTCTCTTTTTCCCCGATCCCACAATCCATAATTACACAAAAGGGCGATATAAAGGTGACTACACTCGTTGTTTCGGATACAGCAAACGCTACAAACCCGGAAAGACCCAGAAGCCGGAAAAAGTCGCTCACGGATCTGCATGCAAACGACGTAATGCTTTCAGCGGAAAAAATTTTGCACAATGGGAACATCGGATATGGAGAAAAGAGTTCGAAGAGGCCTCTGAGTTTATCCAGAAATTCTTCACAAAAAAAAAGGCCTCAATGTTCGTTAGTATATGAATGAAAAAGCAAAGTTGCGGGTATCATAACTATTAGGGGTGGTCATTTCGGCCTTCGGGTTTCGATTTACTTATTTCGGCTTTAGTAAAACTATAATCATTCAGTTTTTTATATAATTTTATTTGGTTATGTTTCGGTTTGGGTTAGGTTTTTATTGCTAAAAACATTCATTTTTCAAATAAATTTTCAGTTTTTTCATTTGGTTCGGTTTAAGGCCGGGTTCAGTTTTGTAAAAATTATGACCATTTGGTTTTTATATCAGATTCGGTTCAAATATCATATGCATTATTCGGTTTGGATTGAGACGGTTATCCACCCCCTATAGGGATACAAAATCCTACAATCTTCGACATTTGATGGAAACCAGCCTAAAGTTTGCATCTTTTCATGGTTTTAAGCACCCATCTAATACTTTTGATTTTGATCGAGTCGAATCAAATAAAAATTTCTCAGGAATTAAATCCCTAAACGAAAAAAAGTGAATATGCAATTCGTAAAGATGCACAAGTGTAAGACTGGTTAAGGAGAGAGACTTACCATTGCTGGACCTTTCTGAATTCTGTAAGCACAGGGTATATATTCTCAAACGCTGTGTATGTGTCATCCCTCACCTTTAGAACCAAAAAAAGTGTTAAGTTTCAAAATTCTAACCACATATGGCTCTCGTTATGAACAATGAGAGGGAAGAAAAACCGACTTACCTTGGCCCCGGTTATCACAATCTTACCCGAGACGAATATGAGAAGCACAATCTTTGGTTGCTTCATTCGATAAATAAGGCCTGGAAAGAGTTCTGGTTCATACTGTGATTTTTGGAAAAGAAGACAAGTTATATTGATACTTAATCTAGCAGTATCTTAGGAAAGAAAATTTGCACAGGCATCCATCTGGAAATACATAAGTCCCTTTTTTCAGCTAAGGACAAAGAAGTAACAATTCAAACCTGCAACCAGTTTTCCAATGTTATTTTGGACGGGACGGTTTTTTTTTTTCATTTCTTGGTACGTGAATCATAATAAACCTCTGTTCAACATCAATTCTAAATAATTTGGATTCTCGTTTTTTATTAAAAAGATGGGATTTAAGAGCTCAAACCTAAAAACAAATCCTTATGAGTTATGAGCACTTTTTTTTCCCTAAAATAGGGATAGTAAATCGACCAACAAATCCCATAGAGATTGAAAACCCTAAACAAGAGAAAAGGGTTATCATAAATAAGAGATATTGACAATAACTCACACTTGAGAAAGCACCATGGGAGTAAGCGAGACCTTCCAGCCTGATAGGGAACTTAACGTCACAGGATCCGACAATATTTTGGATCTTAAAGTCCTAACAACACAGTTTAGGAAAACAGATCAGGGAAACCGACAAAATACAAGCACACTGTCCACATGCTTCGGCATATATATTATCACAGATGAACAACAGAAGCTTGCATTAGGTATTTATATGAAAGGACATCTTATATCCGTTACAATCCATGTGTAAGTATGTGCTCATCCTTCTGCGCACAAAAGGCATCCATTTATGTGTACAATGTCGATAAACATGTCATGTATATATGCTTTGAATGTAATCACATATGTACATCAGCACATGTATGGGAATGTAAGTGATCCCACATACATGCATCTGAAAACACACACATAAACGACACCATGCCGCTGGATGGCAGGGAGAGGGGTGATACATGCCTTATATTTAATTTTCTCTGTAAGTGCTACATGTAGGCTTCTTGGATTAATACACGATGCAGGTTATCTCTTAATCATTCATGCATTACCTTTCGACAGTAAAAAAATGTGAAAAAATAATACCTTAAATTTAGCTGGAAACCCAAGCTTCTGGATGATCCGAGCATACTAAAAAAACACAAATCATTCACATGTTATTAAAGTATTAAACCCAAAACCGATAAATTTTCAGGGACAAGAAAACTGAAACCTATAAATAACATTAAAACCGGAATTTCACATACCTTCCTAGCGGCAAGTTTTGACTGCTGCTCGCTCTTTGCACCCGTGCAAACCTAAAGTGACGGAAAAAGAACTCAGTGTACACACATTAGAGGCTCAGATGTAAGTCGTTAAGTGACAATACACACAAGAGTCAGTAAGAGGACTCACCATCTTCCCTGAAGCAAAAATCAGAGCTGTAGTTTTTGGTTCCCTGATCCTCATAATCACAGCAGCAAAACGCTGTACGGTATTTTATCATGAAAGTAAGATGGAAACTCACCATGCATAGAAATATATAGTCGTACCTCTCCTCAATAAACATGCTGATAACAGACTTTTGCAACAATGGAAAGACATATACTAAACAACTAAAATGTCTAAAGAATAATATACGGCTGAAATGAGTCTGAACAGAGGGTATCACATACCTTGGGGTTATACTCTGCATTACGAGCCTGCAAAGCAATTTGCTTTAACTCCAATTTGCAATCTAAGTTAACTGTTGACACAATATTCCTACGAAGAAACAATCAAAAGTCAGGAAATGGATCCAGATTCCAGAAGATTTTGCCACGGGAGGAGAGACAATTCAGGCACAAATCAATATGGTAACCCACAAGGATTGTTCAAGGCAGATCAGTCAAGCATCTGCACTAAACGGTTGCATTGCATATCCTAGTGAAACTAGCAGATACCAATATCATACACTGGTCAGATAAGAAATGTAATGACTTCTGAAAAGAACCTGGGACGAAACATCACATTACACAAGTTTTATTTTGGCTTTACGGAGGGTTACATTACTTTTGAAACTTAAAATTCTTCCCTTTATCATGTCTTAGCATCCACATTTGGATCCAACATCAGATGTAAATGAAACTTTCTCTCCATAGTGGAATTGAAAAGGACTGCTAACTTGGCTATGTCTACCTACATGCCCACAAAAGAAAACAATATGCTGTATCGCCATTCAGCCAACAGCAGTTTTATCAAAAAAAAAGTACAAGCACTATCACTAGAAAGATGGATTCACTTGCGGTTTTCAAAACAATTCAATGGGAAAACAACAATCGAGCAAATAAACCTGCAAAAACCTAATTCTTTCATTGTCTTCCCTCCCAAAAATCCTCGAAAGTAGAAGATCCCTATACTATACGAACTCGAACTTTTTCCTGCACAACAGGACCCATCTGCAGATCATCCTCAAACCAAAATCCCAAACTTTTCTTCAGTTCTTTCTCACGGGGAACCGTTCTGACGCATGGCAACAAAAAGGGTCAAAACTTTTGTAAGTCAAAGAAACTTACTGCAGGGTGGGAACGATGCCTGAGGGATGCTTAGTAAGATCAACAGGTTGGTTACCTTCCAAGCCACCTTGTTCAGCCATCAACGGACTGTCTACTCCTCAAATCTCACAAATATCCCCAAATCTAACAAAAATTGACGAGAGCAAAGGGTTTTCTTCTACGAACCAAAATAATCCTGAGTTTCTGCTTCTGCAGCTAAATCCTATGAATTGCAAATTCTCTTCCTCTCTCAGATCAACCCTAACTCCAATCTCTCACCCCAAAAAAAAAAAGATGAGAATCCAAGTTTCCCAAAATCAAATCTACAAAGCCCTTTTACCCGCCGGGAAACACAAAAGAGCGACGCTTATTCTCCGCCGAGTTTTAGCTACGGAGCGATCACGACGATCAATTATGATCCTTTGTAGAATCTAGGGTTTCGAGAGGAGGAAGGAGAAGAATAGAAGCAGAGAAAGATGGAGAAAATCAGCGAGAGAGCAAATCGGAAAACAAAGAGGGAAATTTTCGAATTTGTGCGTCTTTTATAGAGTTTGGGTCTCAAATGATCGAGAGACAGAAAGAGACGCAGAGATTTCAGAGGGATTTAAGGATCTGCGTTTGTGGCTTTTCGTCGCGATAAGAAATGTCCGAGACAGAGTGTTAGAAGCTGTTTGGATGCGGAGCTTCATGTATCCTCGGTTGGGGTTTAAAAGGTTGACCGGCTAGTGGAGGTTTTAACCTGTGAGGTGTTGCGTTGAGGTTACCGGGTTTCCCCGGTTAGCTTCGACGCATTTTTTTTTTTTTCTGTTGCGGGTTGTTAAAACTTAAAATGTTCCAACAATTTGAATAAAAACAAAAATCTAATAAAATAAATAAATATTTTTACGAAAATTAAACATAAATTAAATTTAATTCATAAATATATAATATTAATATAATTGAATTTTAAAAATATCTGAAATCTAAAATATATCACAAAATATAACAATATTTCATCACAAAAGTACAATACAAAGAAATCAATATATTAATATGCTTTTTATATAAACATTATACAACGATTATACCACTGCTATTCCCATAATTTATGTATTAAATACCTACCATTAAAATGATTTGAAAATAAATATACCATCGATCGTTAGCAATATATATACAGAGGGAGAAAATAATAGAAATGCGTAAACCCAGCATAATAATAGAACTACGTGCAATGATTAAGTGAAATCATACTTAAACAAAAACAATAATAATAAGAAGAAGTGAAATAATAATAACCATCGTAAATCTTATAAATTATTTTCCCAACTGATCATACCCGCGTAACTAACGGTCAAAATTCATAAGCGAATAAAAATATTCTGGGAAACGATGTCGTTTAGCTGGTCATCTTTTTCTCCTCTTTCCC